GCATGCAAACTCAATTGACTCTTCTTACAAATATACCTCAAATACTTGCTCTCCGGACCTTATTCTTTATGAGGAACACACATCTTTCCAAGACATTTCCCCAGATTGTGCCCTAAAATGGAAGTAGATGTTACTCTGCCTTTTTGTTTTTCTCAAATTAAGCTTTTTGAGATAATTTAAATCCACATGCAGTTGCAAGAAATAAAGATCTCATGTATCCTTTACCAAATTTCCTCTCATGGTAATATCTTGCAAAACTATAGTATAAGATCACAACCAGCTTACTGACATTGGTAGTCAAGAGACAGAACATTTCCATTACCTTAAGGATCCCTCAGGTTGTCACACCCACCACCTCCATAATCCCCTGGCAACTACTATGTTCCCATCTTTATGTCATTTCAAGAATGTTATATAAATGGAACCACACACTATGTAACCTTTGGGGATTGGCTTCTTTTCATTCAGCATAGTTGAATGAATTTGGAAATTCATCCAGGTGTGGCATGTATTAATATTTCTTTTTTTGCTGAGTAGTACTTCATGGAATGAATGTATCAGATTAATCACTCACTCATTGGAAGTCATATGGGTTGTTTCCTGGTTTTTATTACGAACAGTTATGTACAGGTATTTGTGTGAAAAAAGAAGTTAAATGCCCAGGCGTACAATTATTGGTGGATATGATAGCTGCAGTGTTTAGCTATTTAAGAAAACACTGTTTTCCAGACTGGCTATACAATTTAACGTTCCCACAAGCAATCTACGAGTGCTCCAGTTTCTCTGCATCCTTGTCAGCATTTGGTTTTGTCACTATTTTTTCTTTGGCCATTCTGATAGTATGTAAGGATATCTCATTGTGGTTTTAATTTCCACTTCCCTAATGGCAGATGTCAAATATCTTTTCAGTGCTTGTCACCTGAACATTACCTTCAGTAAAATGTTTGTCTTTTGCCCATGTTCTAGTTGGATTGTTTGCTTTTTATTGTTGAACTTTAAGAATTATATATTCTGGGGCACCTGTGTGGTGCAGTCGGTTGAGCATCTGACTCTTGGTTTCAGCTCAGGCCATGATCGTGAGTTCGAGCCCTGCATCAGGCTATGTGCTGACAATGTGGAGCATGCTTGGGATTCTCTCTCCCTCTCTTTGCTCCTCCCTTGCTTGCTCTCTCAAAGTAAACATGTATTAAAAAATAATTATATATTCTGTATCCGGTGCTGACACATACTAGATGTGGATTGTAAATAATTTCTCCCACTTTTGTAGCCTATGTTACTATCTATCCTCTTAACAGATTCTTTCACAGAGCAAGTTTTTAAATTTTGATTAAGTCCATTTATCATGCTGTTATGGATCATAGTTTTGGTATCAAGTCTAAACTTTTGCCTAGTCCTAGATCCCAAAGAATTTCTCCTTTATCCTATTTCCTTCAAGTTCTGTGGTTTTACATTTAAGTCATTGATCCATTTAGAGTTAATTGTTGAATCCATTGAGTCTTAGGTCTGGGAACAGGGCATTTTGTTTTTTGCCAATGGTGATTGTTCCAGGATCACTTGAAAAGGTTTATTTTCTCCAATTGTTTTTACCTTGCCAAAAATCAGTTGGGCATATTCGCGTGCATCTTTGAGATCTGTGTTCTGTCTCCTTGATCCATGTGTTTATCCTTCCCATCAAGATCCATCCATCATAAACAGTCTCAATTACTGTAGCTGTAAGTCTTGGAATTGGACTCCTTCCACATTGTCTTTTTCAAAATTATTGTATTCTAGTGCTTTTCCATATAAATTTTAGGAGAATCTTGTTACACACACACACACACTTCTTGGGATTTTGATAAGCATTAAACCTGCATATGAATTTGGAGAATTGACACTTATTATGTTGGATTTCCCAATCCATGAAGCATCTCTCCGTTTACTGAGGTCTTCTTTATGGGCATTGTGTAGTTTTCAGCACACAAGCCCTGTCCATGGTTTGTTAGATTTACATTTAGGTAGATCTTTTTTTTTCCATGTATGGGTGTACCTACCATTGTGTATCTAATTTCACTCTCCCAAGTGCTCAATGTTAGTATATAAAAATACAATTTTTATGTTTATTTGTAGTAAGCCATAGCTAGAACTGCACATAGGAAGGCCTGAAGTGTTCACATTTTGGAAAATTCCCAGGCAAGAGCGGTCACAAGTAGGGCACAGAATATAGCCGTGGAAATCTTAGGAAATTGAAGTTGGTTGGACATTGTATCTGAATGGTTTGGCCTATGACTTCATGTGGGAATATAAATTGTGCTGAGGTGCTCTTGCGGCAGATTAAAAGGGTGTCTTTTTTGGTGGTGGTGGTGGTGGTGGTGGGATAACTTGGAACTCACTCAGGTTGCTATCATCACACCTATATTGAGTGCTTCCCATAAGGAACGGAAGAGGAACCCTGAATTAATGTATTCTTGGATGCGTGTTAATGTAATTTTTATACATTTGATACTCAACAAAGTTTATCAGTTGTGGGGGGGACAAAAATAAAAATGTATTACTTGCTTATAGGATGCTTTCCTTCCATTAGAACTTTAGCAAATTCAAGATTAAATCTGGTCTTCCCATCTTCAGCACCTTAGAAGGCTCTGTTCTTTTGTGAGTACCGCCAATTTGAGGAGTCTCTCCTATTTTTCAATGGAAATCTTGATAAAACAAAATTTAAAAATCCACTCTAGGTTAATCAAAGAACGGTTGGTTATGATTCTATTTCATTTTTAATATATGTAGTTTTCATCCATTTAGTATTTACAAATATGACATATGTGAGGGCTGTCATGGCTAACAATCAGATCAGTACTCAAAGAATATTTTTGTTAAAAGTTACCTGTTTGGGTGCTTAAATTCTTACCTCATTCAGACATGACAATTGCTAAGTGCCAGAGATCTTCTTTTCTATCATTTCTTTAATTTGTTAGCTCTGAATATTAACTTGATAAAAAAATGTGAAATTGACATATCACCTACTAGACTTAGAACACAAAAATACTACTACATTAAACTTAGTACCAATATGACTGCTAACCATTTCTACTCCAAAATATCAGACCTCTACAATTTCTACTTCTTCCTAACACCAATTTCTAAAAAAAAAGGGGGGGGGGCGGGGGATGGTCATGTCCCTAAAATATTTTATTTAAATAAGACCTTTGGAATAAGTAACATTTCAACATTAAAAATGTTCCAAAATGTGGAAGACTTTAAAGGCTTACTTTGCAATTTGCACTCTAGCCTCCTTGAAGTCAGAAGTCTTTTCATTAATTCCACATCCTAAATTCAAAATCTTCAAAATACATTGCATACTGTATTTTAAATAATCAGAATCATGATTCTCTTTAGCACTGAATACAAAGTGCATTCTTGTACACTTCATAACACATTTTAGGTTTTAAAAAAAAGTGGATCAAATACTGGCGAGAGAACTCTGCCACATTCCAAACCCTCAAATACTAGAATTTAATGTCATATGATACGGCATATTAAATATTAGATAAAACATCATTACATAAATAGCTCAGGAAAATGTTCATGGTTTGCAAGGACTTTTATTTTTCTCAAGAATCTGAATTATCTTTTCAAAAAGGTTTTTTTTTTTTTTTTGGCTTAGGACATAGAAATAAAATACATATGGAACTCATCCTCCCACTTCTTTATAATTTTCTTTCAGCCTATTTTATGCTTTATGTTTCAGAAACAAATGTTCATGAATTTCATGGGGAAAATTTTTTTTCTGGAGAAAAGGAATTTAGAGAGATAAAAAAATATGGGGAGTTTATTGTTGCTATAAATTACATGGTCTTCGTGTATTCTAGTGGATGTGGTATTGAGAAATGGAAATTCCAGTCCTGATTCTGCCATTCTTAAAATCTTATTTAGTAAAGATTATCATTCTACCTTTCAAAAGACTAGTTACAAGACTGCAGAAGTTCTTAAAAATTTATAAAATGCCATAACAAAATTATAAAAATCTGTATTTAAGGAAAAAAAATTTGCTATGGTATACAAAATCTTGGCAATGACATATTGTAGAAAATACTAATAATAGTGTCAACTAATGCATCCGAGCTGAACTACTGTATCAGGCACAATTTGGTTCCTGCTAAAACATGAATATAAATTCAAGAAATTTTAACACGTGCAAACAACTGAATTTACAGAGTTCTCCAAAGCTAGAATACTAAAGTATCTAGGCGTTTACACATTATGTCCTTTGTAAAAGATCATCTGACAAAGTCTCACGAGTTTTAAAAACAAATATACTTTGGCCCAAAAGTTTTGAGAATCATCTTGAAGGAATAATCAAAGATGTTCAAGGATACAGTATCATTTATGTTAAAATAAAAAATGAAAAGAAAGGCCTTACATGCCTAAAATGAGGATTGACTCAATACATTAGGCTTTATCTACAAACTGGAAGGGATTTAAAAATGGTATAAACCTAGTATCATAAATGAAAAAAGACTACAAAACAGTATACATTATATAACCCCATTTTTAAATGCTCTGTGATCACTTATAAATAACAGGCTTTCAATCATCCTTTTTAATTTCTAGCTTTTCTACATAACAGGTATGACATGTGATTTAAAAAAAATTTTTAAAGACCAAATTCGTATTTCATGCAGAACTATTTTTTCAGATTAAGTGAAGGCTGACAACACACTCAATCTGCAAATATTCCACAGGGGCTGTATATGTAAAGTATATATTACATAAAGTATGTTTTAAGAACAATTTTACTAAGTACATCATTATTTATTAACCAAAGTCCTCTACTATTTCAAGCCAGAGTCCTCTACTATTGGATAACCAGATTTCTTTAACTAGATTTTTATCGAGACTTATGCACTTTGAGATTGATAATGTATTTTCTTGTAGAAGCAGTGTCACAAGTGGAAGACAGATGATTACCAAGCTTATTTAACCCACGTTATAGGTGATAGAAGGTATTATCTGCAATGAACACAAAAGAATATGGCAATATTTATCACTCAATGCAATTAAATATGAAATGAACATGCTGAATGCTGGAAAAGCAGGTCAAATCAGACCAGGAGAATAAATGTTGAGATGAAAACTGAACATTACGGAGGGATGTTCCAAAAAGTTTCAATGGCTTTAGAGGCTGACAGTATAAGCACTTCACATCTAGTTTCACTTCAGAATATATGGCAGTCTTTCTTTGACATCACAATAGTACTCTACCGTTATTACTCATGATGATGATAAGGAGAAGCACTGTGGCCTTCAAACAGAATAGAGATCAATTCTAGCAGAAAAGAGGCAGGAATTGGAAGAAGGGTATGGAGGATTTGTAGATGTGTGAGAAAAGGAGTCATCAGGCCAACAACACACGGGTACCAAAGGTGACAGAACAATTTAAAGTGGGAATGGAGGGTAGAGAGGGGAAGAGGCAACCTGGAGCCATTTGTATAGATACATAAACATTTTCAGAATTCTCAACTGTACAATGCCTGAGGGCTGCAAATTTTTCTTTCTACTAGGTCATATAACTGATGCAAGATGCAGGACAATTTTAAAAAGTTAACAACTGTTTTTAGTAAGACTATTTTATTTAAAAATTTTCAAAATATAAAAATAATAAACATTATGGATATTTAACAAACAAAACAACATAATTCAACTATAAATAATAAAAATGTTGACAACCCCACATAAACATGTAACACTATAAACATTCTAAGCATACAAGAGTAGTTTTCTAGTTCAAGTTTTACCTTTTTCAGTTCAAGTTTTATTATCATTTTGAAAAATAAACAAAAAAAAAGCTGCTACAGCTTAACCAATTACTTTCGCTCCACTCAAAGAGCAGGGAATTTTTTCCCCATGCCAACACACATTCGTGAAATGGGATACTTATGGGCACAGGTATTAAAAACTGGAACAACCCAGTCTCCAGACAAGAAAAGACTCCTTTGGTGTTTTTAGGTTCAACAATCCACAGAACTTGAGTACAACTAAACCACTTATTAAAGGAAATCTTGTGCCAGATAACATGTTCTGAAGTAATAACACACCCAAAACAGGTTCAGGATTCTGAGAATCAAAAGTAAGTATCTATGAATGCTTTGCTGATACTTAAAAACTGTATCTTTAGAACATTCACTAAGGTGCTGGAATGAGTCTTATAGATGTAGAAAACAATCTACACAACCAACGCAAAACTTGTACAATGTAAATAATACATCTCTTTTCAACTCATCAAATGTTCTATAAATATTTAAGAATTACCCTGCCTCCTGTTCAGCAAAGATAGATGGGAATTTGAAGCAGAGCAGGATTACACCATATTTAGGATTAGAAAATTTTTCCATGTGAAATATGGGACAACTGAGCCATGCTGAATGTATTGTTGTTTTTATTCTAGCCAGATTAAATTCCTCTTATCAAAAGAGCTAATGACAAACTGAAGAGACTATTTTCTTTTTTGGAAGCTGGGCACAAATAAGCATACTGTCATTATGTATCGTATCTTTAAATTATGGGGTGTTTCTAATGGACTGGGCTCTTTTCCTGACTCACCACAGACCACTTTTATAATTATGCTGCTAGATTAGAGTAAGTCACAAGTGATCATACATTAAAGCCTAGCGAAGTCTAGATAACAGGTTCAAAAATGATATTGAAAGGTTTTGTAGCACCAATAACTTTTTCCTAAGACACTTGAGGGGCTGCATCACTTTAAAGTATTATTTATCTTGTAAACAAGATCAAAAAATATTCAGTTGATCTGTATTTTGAGCATAAATATTTATAAACTCTATTTAAAAAAAACAAATATAGCATGACTAGAGCCGCTAATAGTGTAAAATCTAAGAATATTGAAAAATATAAAGATATATAAAAGGCTTCCATAATGCAATCATGCAGAGGTAAACTGCTTCAATCAATTACACAAAAGTGATTCTGTACAGTTATCTACACATAGCTCCATGAGAATCCTATTTAGGAAAATGAAATAATGAAAATCCTCATCTTTAATTAATCAACATATAAGAATTTAAATATGTAATGACCTATTGGCTCTCACAGAAAGTTTCAAAAAGCACAATGATCTTAATGAGAATCAAATCATCTCCCTTTCTGATTCCCAATGGCATATTCAATTTTGTTTTGCTTTATTTTGTTTTTAATTTAAAAGCAAGGGAAAGAAAAAAGAAAGATGACAAAGTAAAGTTGAGGGGGCTGGTATGTGGTCCACATCTAAAAACCAACTGAAACTGTTAACAAGTATGGTCTCTTCAGACTATGTTCTTTGGGCTTCTAACCTAGCAAGTAAATCACTATCACAGGGGAAGAGAATTTTCTTTCCTTAAAAAGAAAAAATACTGAACTAATCTGGGAAAATATCTCTGAACTCCTGTGGCTATATGCTAGTTTGCAAATGTGAACTAAAACAAAAGTCTAATTTTAAAAATGCCCTGCAGGCTACCAAGTCATAATTATATTAGAAGACTTTCTGAAACATGTACTTTTCCCTTAAATCAAGCCTAATATTCAGGAAGCTGTTGTCAACTAATGTGGATCAAAATAGATAATTTACATTATGATTGATGTGTTCATTCTTTTTATTTTTCACGAAGACAAATGCATTGAATACTCAAAAAGAAGTGTTTGCAGAATAGTCAACTTGGCACAAAAAATATGAAAATACGAGCACGGCTGAATGAAACTAAAAAAAAACAAGGGCAAATAGAATGAAGTGTAATTTCCACTTTTCTAATAAAGAGCTGCTACTAAGAACAACTTCCAAACTTCTCAAATGCCTCATGAGAATCTATGAAGAAATACTCAGAAATTAATTTTCTGAAAACTTCTTTATATGGTGCCCATTACAAAAAAATGGTATTTGGGGTGAATACTTAGGATAAGATTTAATCATACTCTTTATAAATAATTTTAAGCCACACTGCTTATAAATAAATATGGACATACACCTTTTAAGACAGGAAAACTATAATCTTTAACAATGTTAGACACACAACACAATTTCCCCTTGCTTTTAAGATTGTCTTTGATGTCTTGATTGCAAGTGAGGAAAATATGGACAAACTGTGTAAACCAGACATTTAATAGAAATTTCTCAATATTTATAATCCACAGATCATCCTGTATTACTTGAAAAAAAAAGAAAATTATTCTCCTTGTTGGTTTTGAAGAGCTAAGAAATTTTTTAAAAATATTATTTGGGTAAGTGGCCTTGGCAACAACCTCAGTAAGTGTATTTAGAAGAAATAGGCAAGTTATTATAGTGTATAAAAAAGTATTTTAGCATCTGTTCAAAATCATTTAAGTGACTACCTTAACCCCAGAAATGTATCCTAAAACCCAGAAAAATTAAAACCAAACCATGCTTAACTTTTTAATCATTTTCTTCATTCTAAATTGTTCATGCTAATGAACACAATATCATGGCTTTATAGCTTTCTTAGACACAATTTTCAACGTGGCTGAGACTGAACTTATCTCATATTAGGAAACCAAAAGGTCTTTTTCCTTCTTAGTGTTTAAAAAATAAATGGATATAAAGTAAGGGGAGAAGACGTTTAAGAATAAGGTCAGACAAAGCACACACTCAGACATACTTCTGGACTCGGATGTACCAATTAGAGAACTGTGAAGAGACAAAATGCCAATTATAGTACATGTAAACATCTATTCAAATTGATAAAGAGCAAACATAAAATGATAGGATGATATTTTAACAGTCGTCTCCAGACAGGAACAGGTCTTGCTGTTGTAGTCACAAAGCTAAATTCAGGCAATGATGATCTCTCTCTGCTGGAAAAAGAGAAGACTATTAAAAAAACTTTGAAAATAGTAAGTAAATCTAAAAACTGAATCACACCATAAATTGATCGCCAACTTTTCTAAACATTAAAAAAAAAAATCTATTTCAGAAAGGAATCAAAATCAAAGTTGAAACAAATTCCACAAAGAATCAGCTTTGGGTTAATGATTTTAACAAAACCTCTCTGCATCATGCTTCCTTAAAACATTAAGCCACAAAGATCTCAGCACTACAGCATGGCTGTGGTCTACAATTTCTGCTTAGGAAATGCAGTCACTGACAAAATAGTAAACTGTTATAGAAGTATGGGTAGGCAAGGTAGTTTTAAGAAATTATGAACAAATTCCAAGACACTGTATATAAAAATTAAAGAACAATCTTCTTAAATTTCCCAAAGATTTCAAAGTAATTGTGAGTTGGATCTACTTTCCTTAAGCTCCATATGATAATGACTTCATTCTTTAATTAATATAGGACATAAAATTCTATACTAAACACAATGATTAACAACCAAAAATAAAAAGAACACATCAGAATGAGACAGTGCTTGGTATACAAAAGAAGACTAACTTTGGATGATGGGAAGATAAGTGGATGGATGAAATAAAGTTAATAGGGAGGAGTAATTAGAAAGAAACAAGTAATCTTAAATTGATACAAAAAAACGCAAAAAATGCTTTCAGTTACACTAAGTAATGAGTACATATTACTGATAAACTGCAAGAAAGTTATTTACCAAATTAAGAATTTTTCTACTAACCAAGTATGACGTTTTCAATTAGAAATTACTGAGAATGGCAGTCATTTCACCAAGATTTATTTCTTTCTTAGAACTTTTAGGTAGCTAATCTGGAAGATAATCTGTCATCTGATAGGTGTATAATGATCAGAGAGAGAGAAAAAAAAAAAACAAAAAAAAAAAACTACTCTTCTCTAAAAGCCTGTATACATACCTTAGAATAACTAGCCAGTTCAGGAAGTTAACAAGAACAAGGTAGTTCCTGAGATCTGGGAAAAGGAAATTTTCCTCTCTGCCTTACACACATCATTCCCTGATGGTTTAATCCTAGATTGAATTTCATTTTTATTTATAGGGCTTTAGGAGAGTAAGAGAAGCCCTGAGAGAAAAGACCAAAAAGTGAACTAATTTAATTAGCCAGAATTTCATGCAGAATTTCATGCAGCCTTTGTTTTAAAAGGCTAAAAGGGAAGGGAAGGGAAGGGAAGGAAAAAAGCTTACAAATATTTATACAAATTCTAGAAGGACTAAAACTAATTTTCTACAACTGGTTCACATCATGTGTATGGGGAAGGAAAAAAAAAAGAATATATAGATTGATAAAGTTTGTATAACACTCTAAAATAACCATTCATATTTCCACATATCAAACAAGCAACTGTTTTTGCTTTCTTAAGTAACCCTTAGAATCAATGATTAGTGTTCCAGGTAAGATTGGAAATACAGTTCCCATAAATAGTTCTAGTCACAGGAAATTTCCTACATTTAAGCTCAGCCATACTTTCTACAGGTCATCAGCTAAAACACTAAAGTCTCATCTTTATAGTAAACTACTGGTTGATACACTTGATCATATTACAGTAAAACAAGAGCTATGGAATACTCTCCCATTCCTGCAACATGATTTCATTAAATGGTTGGGCATCAGTTAAATACTAAAATTAATTTTTTTAATCTTACAATTATCCAGTAACATTTAAACAACACTGCTTAAGTAGACATAATATATTGAGTGAAATATGTAAAATGACAACTCAACCATCCCTTGAAGTAATCCTAATCAATCTTTTAACCAATAATATATAATTTCTCTCAATTTTTTCCTGTAAGCAGTGACTACTACATTGTTCTCAATCCTTTTTGACTTCAAATTCAGCCCAGATCTATACTAAAACAAAGAACTTGTTGGGAGAACTGTAGAATTTAAAATGTGTTTCAAGTTTTAGGTAGCATATTGTAATAGCAAAAGTGTTTTAGCCTTTGAGTTTAGAAGCAAAAGGAAAAGTTATAGGTAGGAAAAGTCTAGTGAATTTGGAAGTTTATCTATACTTTAAAGGTTAAATGAATTTTGCACCAACCAACGGTGAGCATTTGGGAAGACTTATATATAAAACTGTACCAAGACATGTTATACAGATTATCATAACCAAATCTAAGTTGCTTCCATTGATGACAGAAATAATGGCAACAGATAGGGAGAACTGGTACAGATATATTAAATTGTTTTAGATCAAATACTAATATACCACCAAGGAAACTGTAGATGTGCAAGGGACCTTACAGATCATCTAGTCCAAGCCTTTTCATTTTACAGACAAGGAAACACTCCTGGTTGACACTTGCTTAAGGCCAGAGAGTTAGTTGCAGAGCTGGGACCATAAGCTAAATCTCTTATCTGGTACTCTATGCGAGGTCATCTTTGGATATAAAGAAAATTAGTGGGATGGACTAGATTGGTGGCTCTTGGTATTTCTATTCTTATACACTGACAGAAACCAAAAGCTGTTTTACTCCTGAAACTGACAACATTTAATACTCCAAATTATTAATGTTTTACTTAATTGCTGTGGAAATTCCACTAAGACTACATGTACATTCCTCCAACAGTATTTGTAACCCCACTGTTGCAATACTTAACTGTATCACTTGTTTAGCAAAATAGTCTCAATAACGGAGAAGACCTTCAGGAGAGACTTTTGAAAAATTGATAAGAATTAACAAGGGTGGTAATTGTCACTCCATTATTGGAGATTTAAATATGCATTCATTCGTTAATTCATCCAACAAACATCTGAGTGCCCACTATGAGCCAGGCTTTGTGATAATCACTAGAGATAAAAAGATGAATAAGACATGGTCCCCTTCCTAGAGAAGCTTGTAATTTAGTGGGGAAGACAGACATATAAACCAGATAAATTATATTACAACATAAGTACTGTAACAGAGATATGAACAAAGTGCTGTATTAGAAGGGAGTGTAAAGGTATGAACTAACTAATGACCAGGAAGTCTACTAATTTTGTGCAAGAACTACCACATTTACTGCAAACACAATCTCATGCTCAATCAATAATTAGGAAGGAGTAACAATGTAGAAGTAAAAAAAAAAAAAAAAAAAAAATTGGCACTGAAATCAGAATGCCGGCATTTAAATCTAGTCCTTTCACTCACTAGCTGTGACTTTGGGCAAGTCACTCCAACTCTATTAGCCTAAGTTTCCTTATCTGTAAAATGGGAATCAGCAACTACTTCAAAGGGATATCTTAAGTTTTAAATCAGAAACATGATAGTACATACAGAGTACTAGTATTTATAAACATTAATTTTAAAAACCCAATCATTAAATACTAAGTAATATTTATAGCTAAGATCTTATTAATGAGAATAATTGTGACCCTAATGAATGTGTGTAATGTTTAATCCCCATACTTTGGGACCAAACTGAAACGCTTGTTTTCTGATTCATTCAAAGCAATATGGCTTAAGAAAACATTTTAATTTTGGGTTACTAGAGAATTTAAGACTAGGGAAACTGATAAGCTATTTATGGATTTAAATAAGTAGGAAGTAATTATTCTACAATAATTTTTAAAATATCAGGCTAAAATGTATTAATCAAATTATAAAGCCAAAAATCAGCATGGAGATTTAACTGGCCTTTGAAAGATTTTCTTTCTTTATAATACCTGTTTGGTGTAAAGAGAAGAAACGTGAGCCTCTGCCAATTTGGCACCTTTCACGACTACTAAAAAGAAAAGAAAACAAACTTACCTAATGAATCAGAATAGCACATAGTCAACATACAAGAGACTACATAAAAATATATCACAGATCTAAGTAAAGAAGTTTTTGAGTAAAGTCACTATTTTGACAAAAGAAATTGATTTTGAAATTTTAAATATTAACACGTGTACCAACTGCAAGCCCAAACATTCCTATGAAATAGCATTATCATCAGGAACATATATACAACTTTAACCCTAAGTGTGGGAGGAAAAAAAAAAAAAAAAAGAGGAAAAGCATCCATTATTTACCCCACTGACAGAAGATTATGGTGTTTGGAATTACAGTTGTGACTGTGAGGATCCCAGTATGGGAAGAAAGTGATTTTTTTTTTTTTAATGTGACATTTAATATAATCACTATAATCTCAGGAGGGGCAGGAACACTTGCAACTGAAACGATGAATTTTAAAAGATAAATAGGTAATCTCCCACCCCCTCAATCTACAAAGAATGCATTTATTTCCTGAAACTGCTGTTTTATCAACTTTCAATGATCACGTTCATTTGCCAGAGAAATCCACTTAAAAATTACAATATTGTGTCAAATGTCAAAGATTTTTATACAAAGTATAGGAAATGCACACTTAAAATATCAGACTGGAACACTTACCAAACAGTGTTTTCCTAAAGTAGTATCTATAGTACATTTCTTTATTCATACATCTTCAAATGGTCAAGTTTTCTTTCATACATCCAAAATGTAATGTGATGTTTTCTTATTCACCAAATGTTAGCTCTACTTGAAGTCTGGTTCCAAACTAATCAGCCTGCTTTTAAATTTTAAGACAGCTGTTGAAAATTTATAGGATCAAACCAAACTGAAGTGGTATAAATTTTTAACATTGGATTGTACATTATTTGTAAAGGTACCAATAATCATTATTAATAAGTTAGTGATTATAGCTCCTTTTGTGATAATTGGGGGGAAGGGTAGATCACCATCTGGAATGGTCTATTTATTTTAATTTTTTTTCTTTTCTTTCTTTTTTTTTTTTTCTTTTTCTTTTTTAAAATCAAGGAACATTGTCTTGGTCTTTGTGGGGTTTTTTTTTTTTTTGTCATTTTCTTTTCTTCTCTTTTCTGTTCTTTTCAAGAGACCATTCCGCTTTATTTTTAACATCTGAATGTATAAGGACTCATATGCAAAGCAGTCATACACCGTTATCATTAAAACCCATATGGTAAAATACATACACAAGTCCAACAAAAGGCTAATACATAGTAAAGCCTAAGCATACTACTATGTAATATTATGAATACATAACTTGGAGACTTTAGTTAGAGTACTATGTTATCTATTCATTTTTGAAAACATTCATTAAGATTTTAAATGCAAATTCATTCCTTATTTGGAGTAAAACAAAATCCTCTAAGTTATAACAAGTATTGGTCATAAGTTTTTAGACCTATTCATTAAATTACAAAGAACCCAAAGAATTCTGTAATGTTCAGTAGAAGTATGTAATAAAAACATTGCATATGTTTCTAGTGTGATGTCTTTAGCAATTGTTTACTGAAATAAAATGCAAACATCAATCTTTCAAAATACAGGATCAGAAGGTAGTTTTCTTCTCTTTTGTCTATTTGTGAAATCCATCTTCATCACATTTTACCAAAAAATTGTTTTTACAAATATGTAAAAGTACATTAGATAATACTAATGAAACACAGGTAGAGTTCTAGCATATGCAGATCAATGATCAGTCAAATCATCTTCTCCAAGAACGAGATTCATTGTCCTCTTCTTCTTCATCATCATCTTGAAGTAATGAGTCATCCACCAAAGACTCTTCCTGAAACTTTAGGTTAAAATGCATTTAGGAATTTACCCAAAAAAAAAAAGAAAAGAAAAAAGGTGACACTTTTAAATACTGATTTCTCTCAACAGAGTCGAATACAAAAGGTATTTCTATAGCTACAATATTCAAGAAACAAAGAAAAGCAACCTTTATCCACTCAATGGTTTCTCTACAGTATCTATTCTATTGCTTCTATCAAACAGGCACTAAAAAAATATCTAAGTAAGCTTTTTGTACATGCCATTTCTCCTGCCTCACTCAATCAAATTATGCCATCTTCTACACCTACAAAACATTGCTCAATACCTTTTGTTGGAAAAAAAGAAAAAAAAAAGAAAAAAGAAAGAAAGAAAGAAAAACATCAATAAATCTTCTCTGACTTACCCTAACCCTGGACACTAAATCAACCAATTAACTTGTAGAAAAGTCTATCAAGATTTATACTTCTTTTCTGCTATATGTAACAAACATTTCTTTTATAGAATTCCTTGCTTTTCCCCATTCCCTTCATAAAAGCTTCTCAGACTGCTTTTCAAACTTTTCAAAATACCTAATACCAGGAGCTCTCCTGCTTTTCTCCCCATTCAATTCAAACTCATGGAAGGACAAAGGTATAATCTAAAATATAAAATGACAAATCATGTATATGAGTTTCAAAATACACATTTTATTCTTGCATTTGACTACGGATATGTATAACAGCCTCGAATGCTCTTCAAACAAAATGAAGTGCCATTACAAGAATCTAACAAAGGTAAAACATGGAATCAGTTCCCCACCTTACCTTTATTTATTAACTTCCTCAACTTTTTCCTACAGCTTATTTCATGATTAAAATAGAGTTGCTTATTTTTAAGTGTATGGTTTCAAAGTGCTCTCCCATTTCATTGTTCCTTGTGCTTACACCTCTAAGCCACCATACTGATTGCTGTACCCAAGAAAAAGGGACTCTTCCATACCTATTCCTCTTCCACACCTAAAATGCCTCTCTCAACTATATTCGCAGTCCCAGCTCTTGGTTATGGAAAGCTTTCTTATCCTTCAGGGTTCAGCTCCACTGTCACCACCTTCTTCAAGATTCTTCTGGACAGAAATAATCACTCCTTCCCGTGGGTTCCCACAGCGTATTGTTCAAATCTTTATTGAGCATATCACTCTGCCTTTCATTAGAATTAATTTTTTATGTGTCTGTCACCACCCCCCTTTCCAGATTATAAGCTCCTTGAGGATAGGGACCGTGTCTTATTCATTTTTGTGCCTATCACAGTATCTACCATTTAGCAGGCATTCACTCTAATGAACTAAAACAATATGAATTAAAATAAAGGAAACCTGAAATGTTAATAAAGCAAATGAATAGGATATATACTCTAAACTTAAAATATTACAAGAGTTCCTGTGGATAAAAATCTAATGAATAATTATTGTTTTCTAAAAGTAAATGAAAACTGAGTATGTGTGTGTATATGTATATATATATGTATATATATATATGTATATATATATATATACATATATATATATATGATTTTCTTTTTCTTTTCTTTCTTTGGATTAGCAATCCACAGTTCTCATTAATCCAGAAAATTTAAAGTTGTCTGCATTTATCTGACATCCCCTGCCTGGAATATGGCTCAGGAATAAAAGTTTTATGTTAAAATCACAGCCATAAAATCACATTTCATAAAAAATGTGAACATTTGAGGGCAAAGACAAATTAAAAAAAAAAACATACTTCCTCTTCATCAGGTTCAACTTCTTCTGTTTCAACAGCTGAAATATTAGTTATTGGTTTATTCCATGCCAGTTTTAGATCCTGCCCTTTGAAACGAGCTCCATGAACTGCAGCCTAAAACAATTAAGAACATTAGAATGTAGAACATTAATAATTTCTGAAGAAAACAATGAAATGTTACAGTACTTAATATTTAAATCAGTAAAACAAAAGTGAAGACAGCTATCCGTTTACTTTGTGGTTATTTCTCCATTTACTATTTATTATTATATTTATAATTTACTTTTTATGGTTATTTACTTCTAAAATCAGTCTTGTGATTGGAAATACCTTTAAACAGGAAACAAGAACACTTTCTCATACTTCAACGGAACTACTTTACTACTGGCCGGTATCTGACTAGAGAACTATGTCTACATGTTTATAATACAATGATAACTGCTATTCAAGCAACAATCTCAAACCATTTCAAGATCTTGGCTGTAGGTTCTGAACTGAAGTCTCAATGAGAATACAAGGCTAAATGTATCTTAATGCATTTTAATTCTTGTTAATTTACAAACGACATATGTAGTAACTACAAACTGGAAACCTTTAACAAATATAATAATTTTGCATGCGTAAAGTATCATATTATTTTTAAATTACATCAGTAGTTTAAAGTGTCACATTATTGTTAAATTTACGATGTATGACATATCACTGTTACAAAACGTAAGTATCTCCATGAGAAAAGAAACCCTGAATGTTTCTATTGAAACTAAAGTACTTCCTACAAAGCTTTCAGAACTGCATAGGATATAAGTTAAACTCAGTATTTGTTACATTAAGTGGCTGGTGAAGAAATCGTCCATTCAAATTAAAGTAACATGAACTAATAATATAAATCAATGTTAGCAACATACTGAAATAACTCATAGTCACAAAAGATTTATAGTACAACCTCAAAGTATAGCATAATGTGAAATCTAGATACAATTACATGTTCAATGACAACTGATCGTAAGTTGTATGACATTAAAGTCTCTAGGTATAAATTTTAAATCTGCACATAAAAATCTATGATAAATTTAAAAGATTCTGTGCCTATTAAAATGCAGCTCAGGAGGAGTTTTTAGTCCATGGCTTCATCACAGTGTCACGTAACTGAAAGAATTTTTAAGTACTTATGATATTCCACTTAACAACTTGCAAGTTTTTAAACCTGTAACTATTACATAAAAATATACTACAGTAATATATGTACATATATATACATATATTACCGTAAGGAATTCGAATAGACTCATGCAAAATGTCTACTCAGAAAGTCCATCTTTTCATCTAGTTAAAAAAGGCCAAAAATTTCACTGACATTTTCTATAGGTTCTTGACAAACATTTCTGATGACCTAGTATTATAAATCTCTATATTTAGCACATACATCTTCAAATTTATAAGGTGAGTCTACAACTCTCTAAAGTTTTAATTTTAACATTTTACAGGATGATTTTCAAAATTAGATGAACTAGTTAGAACATTTATCAATGTTCTCCAATAGAAACTTTTGACTATTTGGCTGTATAAATTTTTGAGATAACGGAGTCCTTGCTTTGTGAAGAGGCAAATTTATTTTAGATAATCTGCAACATAAAATCTTTAAAGTTAAAAAAAAAAGTTCTGCAACCCACCCATTTTATTATTTAAAAAATTCAAAAATTTCAGGTCACATAATATAAAAAATTGTAATTCATGATTAATCCTTCCCAAAGAGATAACCACCATTCCATGAAGAATTTGGGAAAAAGCTTTGCAATACACTAAAAAAAGTCCTGTACACATACTAAAAGGGTTTGTGTATATACATATGTATGATATGCACATGGGAACATACTTTACATCATATTTAAACTAATTTCTTGAATGGAATTTTGTCATATTTGGCAAAATACTCTTTTCTCAAATGGATCTGGATTTTTGTTTATAATGCATGTTTTTACTGCTGTTGTATTTGTCATAAAGCAGCTTAAATTTTCATGTTCTGTAATTTATCTATGTTGTGCCAGTCCTTTAAAAAGCCTTTCCACCTAGGATTATTTTCAGAGATCCCCTAGCTTTTTACTAGTCACATGTATTAAAAAAAGAAAAAAAACTTTTATTCATCTTGATTTTGATACCAAAAATAAAGACATAATAAGGTACTATTTTTTTCCTAACCATCCATTGTCCTAACACTCTTTACAGATTATTCAGTAAATTTAAATTCCCTGACTTAAATAAAGCATTTCCTTGTAATCCTCTATAATTTTTATATATACTTATTATGTCTTTTCTAGATCAATTTTGTCCTAGTCTCTATCCATACCATTACTATATTCTTTATTTCATAATGAATTTGGTATGCTTTTCAGAATATTTTTGGTTATTCTGACATTATTTTGTCCTATGACCTGTGGAATCTTTTGGCCAAGTCCAGTATCATACTGTGTTACTGATGCTTAATAATATAGTATCAGCTAGATCAGTGCTTTTCATTTCTGTGGCATCTGCTTCAAGAGTTCTGCCACCATTTTATTAAAATGTACATTAAAAAATGAACTTCATAACTACTTATAAAATGTTAATAAAAAAACATGTTTAAATATATTCCAGGGGATGCTTATCTGAGCAAGGTGGCAGTGGTCATAAAGGTGGAAGTGGGGCTCAACATAAAAATATACAAAAGAAAGGAAAGTGGGAGCAAGTAACTTCAGAGAAAGATATGAGGAAGAGTCAGAGGAAAAATTAAATTTGCTCATCTGAATGTAAACAGTTGATAATCCAAATGAAAAATTACCAAAGTACCAAAGTAAAGCCAGAAAAGGAAAATATATATATAAACAAATCTTTTCTAAAGAAAAAGGTTTTAAAAAGATACATGGTCTAGGGGGCGCTGGGTGGCTCAGTCAGTTAAGCGTCCGACTTCAGCTCAGGTGGTGATCTCGCAGTCTGTTGAGTTGGAGCCCTGTGCTAACAGCTCAGAGTTTGGAGCCTGCTTCAGATTCTGTGTCTCCCTCTCTCTGCCCCTCCCCCACTCACGCAGTCTTCCTCCGTCTCTTAAAAATGAATAAACGTTAAAAAAAAAAAAAAAGATTACACGGTCTAAAATCAGTAAACCCTGATAATTTCACAGATAAATTCTATTAAACTTTTGAGAAAATATATCTCCAATGCTACTTAAAATTAACTCAAAGCAAAAGATGGAAACTTTTCAAGTAGTTTCTATGAAGTCAGGTAAAACGGATAAATGATAAAAAATAATATCCGCTCCCCCAACCTACAAACCAATTTTACTTTTGAAAACTGAATTAAAAGTAAAAATAAATACAAGAATAAAACCTTGTCATTTGCAAAATCATGGATGAATCTGGAGACTATTATGCTAAGTCAAGTCAGAAAAAGACAAATACCACATGACTTCACTTACATACAGAATCTAAAAAAACAAAAACAAACACTCTTAAATTCAGAGAACAAACTGGTGGTTGCCAGAGTCCGGGAAAAGGGTAGGGGAATGGCGAAATACACATAGGAGATTAAAAGGTAAACTTCTGGTTAAAAATAAAAAGTCACAAAAATGAACAGTATAATACAGGAAATATTAAAACTGTAATAATGTACATGGTGATAGATGGTGACTACACTTGTGGTGAGTACTGAATAATGTAGAGAATTATCAAATCACTATGCTGTACACCTGGAACTAATATAACACTGTATGTCAACTATATCTCAATAATTTTTTTTAAAAAGTGAAACAAAACCAAAAACAAAAACAAAAAACAAAAAACCAAAGAACAGACTTCAGATTTCAGGGAATTATCAAAGAAATACAATACTGTGGGAATTTATACCAGAAGCAAATAGTTCAATTTTAGGAAACAATATAAATAGATGAAAGAAAACAAAAACCCTCAAATTTCTAACAAATACACAAAAGTTATGATATAAAATCTGTTTTTGATAAAAACCCAAAAATCTCTACAGCATTCAAAAATGGGAATCATTTGCATGCTACCTTCACCTAAAAAGTCAGCATCATATATATTACTAAAAGTATTAAAAATGTTTTCATTCATTTACCATTTTCATTCATTTCATGAACAACGAATGACACTTCATGAGTAAATACACAACTACTACTACTGTTATTTAACATTTTTCTTTTTTTATTTTTTTAAGGTATTTTTTTTAATGTTTATTTATTTTTGAGAGAGAGAGAGAGAGAGAGAGAGCGCGCGCAGGAGAGGGACAGAGAGAGAGAAGACACAAAATCCGAAGCAGGCTCCAGGCTCTGAGCTGTCAGCACAGAGCCCAACGCAGGGCTCAAACTCACAAACTGTGAGATTATGACCTGAACTGAAGTCAGACACTTAACCAACTGAGCCACCCAGGTGGCCCTATTGGATAACATTTTTCTGAAGGTACTAACAATTAAACAATACAAAGTAAGAAGTTATAAACATGAAAGACGAAGGTAAAACTACCATTACTTAGTGTTATGATTGAATGAATACTTGACAAACCCAAAAGAACAAAATATAAAACTATCAAAAGATAATTTGGTAAAACGACAGTTACATATTTAATAAAAACAAATAGTTTTTCTACATACAAACAATCAAGAGAAAATACAATGGAAAAAATACCTCGTTTAAAGTAACTTTAAATGACTGGGGAGAACTACTAATATATTTACCTATACAAAGAAATTATACATATTTTTTATATATATTTTATATTATATAATCTGCAACACATGTATATTACCTATATCTTACATATAAATAAAATACATACAAATATATATATATCTAATCTATATAAAGAAAATCTTTAAATGCTCTCAGAGGATAAAAAAGGATTGACATACAATGATATGCTAGAGGAGTATTTAGTATCATAAAGATGTTAATTCTACTATAAAGTATTCTTCTTTTAGAACCAGGTAAGTAATTTCTAAAGTTTATATGAAAAATAAACACATAAACATCTACCACGAAGATTCTGAAAATGAATAATAATAGCTGGGCATAATAACAGGGAATTCAAACAACAGCCTTGAAAAGCTATGAAAATATATTATAAAGTTTAGCTTAATTAAAGGTGAGGAAGAAGCACATGGAAAGAAAACTGATCAATGGAAGAGAACAGTACTAAGTAAGAGTACCCTTACATCCTACAGGTGAAATTATGGGAAAACTAGCTTTACTCAATGAAATCAAGTAGACACCTAGTTTATCCCTTACATCAAATAAAATTCTTATGAATTTTCATAAAAATGTTTAGAACTCATGAGCTAATTTTCTAGTATATAAAGAATTCCCATAATTCATTCAGAAAAAAAAATCAGTAGAATAGACAACTCAGCAAGATAATAGGCAAATGACACAAATAGTTGACAGAAACAGAAATAAAGAGTATTTAAACATGAAAATGTTCGACTTCAATCATAAAAGTGTATTAAAAATGAGTTGCTATTTTTACCAAAATAAAATTGTCTGATATCTCACGATGGCTTATGTACCCATGTATTTTACATAAGCAAACCACCATGCAGAGTACACACATATGGCAAGTGTATGGCAAAAAGGCACTCTCATACATCTTTGGTGGGCAAGCAAATGTGGTACAACCTATATGGGTGGTGGGTGGTGGGCAATTTCAGAACTTTTAAATGCATATATCCTTTCATCCAGCAATAACGTTATCAAGAATAGATCTTATAGTCATATTCACATACATACATAGAGAAATATTCACCAAGAATATTCACTGCTACACTGTAAAAGAATAAAAACAACCTAAAGTCCATTAACATGGTTGATTATGTTTGGTATATCCATTTGGGGACAATCTCTCACTTTTCAGACGTATTTGAATGTCTCATGTACCTTATTTTGTACTTTCACTTTGAAATATTGTGCATCTACTGATTATAGAAAATACAGAGACATTCATTCACTCATCTAGGACAATGGTTCAGTAAGAACAATGATATATTTGGAAATAAACACTGAAAAAGGTTGACAATTTTTTTTTTTCCCTTGGGAAGACTTATCACTTACCTTGAGTTTACATCCGCTTATATTTTTGGTGTTAAAATTTTATTCATTTTATAAAATGATGATGATGGTGCATGAAATTTGGTTTGTACTTTTAACGCATTTTCCTTGATAAAATTAAAAACTGATACCTCTATGTCAATACATTAATTTTTAAATTCCTAAACGTTAATGATCCCGGATATCCAGAAGTTTGAAAACCAATGCCTTAGCCTATATATCCTGCTTGTAGAAGATCAGCTTCAACTTAATTTTCTATTCTCTTCTACAATAGGAAGGTTACAAAATTTTAAGAATTTTTTGGTTTAAGCAAATGATTATGATTTAACAACTTGCCTAACTTAATTTCAAATGTGTATCATGGCAATGGTAGTTCTTCGTTTCAGCCTATTGAATAATTCCAACTAAAATGGTATTTACTCTGAAAAGGTAATTCTTTATTATATCGAACTTATTTTGTCACATATTCAAACTCCATATAATTCAGCATTAAAGTCTTGTTTATGCATTAATCCCTAGTCTTTTGAATTGATTGCTATTCATTTGGAAAACATGAATTGTATTTTACACACACACACACACACACACACACACGTGAGGTGGAAAAAGCAACACCCAAGAAAAAAGGTATATGTCAATAAATCTTCTAAGAGCAAAACTTCCAATACTTATTTCAGGGGTAAGAGGTTTTTATTCCTCAGTCACATAAGCAAGGAGAAGTTTTAACAACGACAGCTACCATTGTTTTATGACTACTGCCTAGAAAATAGAACATAAAGAGACATACTCAAGCTACCTAACATTACACCGAAAATTGTCACTAAAGCATCAATTAAAGGAAGCTTATTCTTAACTTATACTCAATAATACTTTTTGAAAAAACCTGATCAAAGATTTACTTTGGTTAAGTACCTGACTCCTTCCTCTCTCTCTCAAAAAAAAAAAAAAAAAAATTTATAAAGTATTTTAAAAAGGGTTTAGTTTTTAATGTAACATATATACATACAAGTTTTAAGAAGTTTTAAACTCTCATCAATAATACTCTCACAAACGATCTTTAAGTGAAAAGATTACCCAAACGAGATTTAAAAAACCGTAACTCTAGGATCCATTCCTATTCTATAAAATGATCCACCTCCTACATCACTGATCTTAAAACTGGTTATTCCAGGGCCCCAGCTGAATGCTTAACTAAGATTTTTCAGACCCACACTCTTTTACTGGTTATAATGCCCCAAGAGCAACTCCTACCAGGTTAGGTCCCCAATAAGGTATCATTGTGTTGTCAGGGAGTATTCACTATAAAGAAGATAAATCAATTTAGAAAGTGTTTTTAAACTTTAATTTAGACCACAATCAAGTTAAAACTTCTTAAAGGCATACCACTCTTCCATTCACATTATGGTTAACTGTTTGGAACTCTTATAGCATTTTTCCAAGGACAAAATGGTACATGTATCTCTCTATAATCCTGAAGAAAGAACACACAAGGCTAAAAACATTTCCTATAAATCTCCCACACCTCATATACATTTTCCTTTTTTTTAATCCTTTAAACCCAGATGAAAGACAAGGTTGCATATACTTGGCCATTCTTTGTAAAGACAATTCAAGACACATAGTTTAAGATTACTATAAAGACCCTAAAAGCTAGAGCTATATATCATACATTGCAAAAAGTTGTAGAGGCCTAGTTGGGGGGTATGCTAAGCTAGGGACACTTATTTAGAGTTCAGCTTACTGGGACTAGTAAGTGGCGGATGAGAGATGGCTTACAAGGACTGCCATCAGGATTGTATCTTAGCTTCTACCTTATCTCTCATCACTCATTCTCCCAAAGCAGACTTTGTTCTGGGCCAGCTGAGAAAAAGGGTAATGGCAAGTGGGATGGCCCTATCCCAGGTGAAAGAGAAAGGAAGGAGAAATGCTGGTGTCTCAAGACAATACAACTTAACATTCAACTTGGTAACTATTCTATCATGTTATAAACAGAATTGCCTAACTGCTTTAGGACATTCTTTGTGGCCATGAATTCCAATTCATATGACCTATCTACTGTCAAAGTGCAGTTATCTAGTAATTTAAAATGTTTTCCTTTATATTAAAACTTAAAAGAAATATTTATAAAACATTTAAATCTGAATTTTCAATAAATTAGATTTCTAATACTTACTGCTTCAGCTTCTGCTCTTGTCTTGAATGTAATTACTGCATGAAGTGAAGAGTCATCAATCTGACAATCTTCAATTTCACCATATTGCTTTAAATTAAAAAGAAGTATTTTCTCCAAATAAATATTTTGAAACATCCAAAATCCTAATGGTTTTTAAAACACCAATAAATGTAACCCAGAATATATAACAATTCATGGTGATTAACAGAAAAAAAGATGAATAATTCATTTAGTACTTGATGTTACAAGATAAAGAGTGGTCCTGTTTACAATTCTACACTTTTTAGAATTAGGGAAACTTATACTTGACTGAACTGTGCTTTAAATCAACGAAAGAGTGTCAAACACTGGGTTTCCTTATTGCCTTTCCTTGTACACTCGTTATTCCAATCCCGTAACGTGCTACCTTCTTTCTAAAACAGAATATTTAATCCTCAGAATTCATATTTTTGTGTGTGCCGTTCTCAATTTAAAGATGGTGCAAATAAAAAGAGTAAGAATTTAAATAATTTTCCCAAAGTAATTTAGTTAAATACCAGGAGAGTCCAGGTCTTTTAAGTTTAACATTCAAACTGACCCTGCTTTCACTCTTAACACATACTCCTGTACACCACACTCTTATAAAGAGTTAAACAGGAAACAGGTTAAACAATGCTTGCTTCTGGTTTGCTGGATTTTATTTTTTCCATATGTAGAAAGATTTTTCTACAAACAACCTTTATCATATAAATTTCTAGCCCTTTATATATCGTCACTAATACCTTTCTTCTTTTTTACCCCAAAATAAAATTATAATTATAATCTCATTAAATACACACGCACACACTCTGTATCGAAAATTTCTATAAAGATAATGGACTCTAGAATCTGTTCTGTCAGGTACTAGCTGTGTGAACTTGAACAAGTTACATAATCTCTTCATGCTTCATCTTCATCTCTAAAGTGGGCATAATAAAGGCACCTACCTCAGAGAGTTGTTGAAATAATTCATAATATATTGAATTATATAAGGCACTCAGAATAATATCTGACACGAAATAAATGCTCTATGATTTTTATTACTTCTACTACCACTACTACTACCACCACCACCACCACCGGGCCCAGTGGGTAAACTAAAGAAAGCATTTCGTTAATCACAATTTGTAACAGTCAACAGTCCTATGAAAATGTAGGTTCTTTTCTGTTACTTGCCACAGGTTCAAATTCCAGGTTGAGACAGAGAACTATGCTTTAAACCTGCATTCTTAAAGACTGATCATTTTTAAATGTGCATTACCACTACTAAATTTGGACTTTCCAGACTCCTCTTCCTTAAATATTAATTTTAGTAATTTCATAAACATATACCACTTTTTTCAGTAACTCTCTATGTCCCAACAAAGTATAGTTTCACCTTTGTAACTTCTGTTAACAGCTTAGAATGTGACTGTCAAACATATAAATCTGAATTTCCAAAAAGATTTAATCTTTTCTGTAAGCTTATTGATCCTTCAAGATCTAAGTTCCAGTTTTACTGCCTTATGAAATTTTCTACTATCCTTTTTCGATCATATGCCTGTGTAAAAGATACTTCTCTAAGTTACTACTTACAGTTTTTAATAAATGTAACTTGATTATGCCATAAATTATGTTTATAATTTACTTTAACTCATCTGTGTTAAAATAATATATATAAAATTCTTGGAAGGTAAAGAACTGGTTATTTCCTACATATCTCCAGAGCAATTACTATAGGCCTGAGGGCATGACTGATGCTTAGTAACTAACCTTTGGGATACCACTAATCACAACATTTAAGTTGAAACGGACTTTAAACAAATATAATTTCCATTCTGCACATGAGCCAAATGGATCCCAGGAAGTCCAAGTTAAATAATGGCTTAGCCAGGACTAGAATCTCATTCTCCTTTCTCATAAGTCAGTCAGTCTGTATTAGACTGTATACCCTGGCACTGACTAAGGCAACTTCAAGATCATATATCAAAATTTCATCTTGTTTCATTTCTAAGGTCAGCTAGATCAAGAATACAGTATTAACAAATAAAATTCCATCATAATTTAAAAAAATCTGGATGGCTTACATATGTTAAATTTTCCCTTAAAAGTATTAAATGACACTAAACTACTGAACTTTTCCCTATGCAATAGGAAAGTTTAAATCATTCATTTCACAGTATCTGAAGGCCTACTAGGTGTTAAGAATGGTAATGTTTCTTCCAGATAATAAACAAACAAAAATATGTCTGCTTTTTAAATAATTAACAAAAGATAATTATAGATTAATCAAACCCTTTGGTCAGATTAATGGGATTAAATTACTCATCATTTTCATAATTTCTCCTTTAATCATTATCCCCAACAATGACTATCAGTACTTGTTTTGTTGGACAGTAAGAAAGTACCGCAAAATGAGGAAGAAGATCTTCTCTATCACTCTCTGTAAATGCAGAAATTTCCAATGCCCTGGGACGATGATCCACCACAGCATGACCAGGCACACCTCGACCTCGACCTCGACCCCTGCCTCGGCCGTGAGCTGCACCTCGACCTCTTGAGTGAATTCCTCTACCCCGACCAGATGAAAGAATCCCTCGTTTTGCAGCCTTGAAGAGATTATAGACACACAAGTTAAATGCCACAATTTGTAACACAAGCCACACGTTATATATACTCTATCAAACTTTTATACAATCTGATATCATATTCAAATACTGGCTTAGAAAAGGGTATCATAATTTAAGTTAAGGCTTTAGTTTTTAAAGTGAGTGTAAACTTAGGTAGCTAATGCATTTAGAAAACAAACAAAGTAATATTTAAGTCATGTTTAAAATTGTTAAATGTGCCTTTTTCTACTAAGTTCGTTATTTTCCAAGATCTCAGATTGTATCATTAGATGACCAGCAATTCTTGATTTCCAAATAATACACGGTATGAAAATGTTACTTCACCAGTTTAATACATAGATACATAATTAATATACAATAAATTAATTTTTCCACTTAGGACCTTTGAATACAGTGTGTCTATTTATTTGCCTGGTGGCTTCAGTAGGTATAATTATCTCAAATTATCACTTTGGTCACTTACACTAACATCATCATACAACCAATGTAGCATGTTTAACTTCTATTCCGCCACAGTGCTCCACATGAAAAGCACACCGTTCCTTCATTCCACAAATATTTAAAGAGCACTTCCTATGCTCGAGTCCTTACCTTCCTGAAACTCAAATCCTAGAGGGGTAAAGAGACATTTGGCAACCAAGTTATTTAATTATATTAATGAGAAGTAATTAAAAAAGTAAGGAAATGCTTTACTTAAAGACTTGAACAGAACATTCAAGATCTGCAATAAATATGCTACAATATCCATGAGGATATTTTTTCCTTGTTTTATTCTCCACCTGATTCCTAGCACTTACAATGGCAGCTGGCAGACTGTAGATATTTAGTATGTGTTGAATGACTCAAAGAAGAAAGAACAAGCAAGGTAAGGGTGAGGGGTAGGGGCTACAACATGAACAAAGGAATCAAGGCTAAAATAAACACCGTACTCAAAAATACAGGAAATCCAGTGTAGCTGGACCACGTGGGATGAAGAAATGAGGCTACAGAGATAAGCAGAACCAGATCATGAAAAATTTTAAGGATCACTAAATTAAAGATTTTTATTTTTGTCCTAAGAGCCATGAAAACCAGTTAAAACATTTTAAGTAGAGAAGTAGAGTGATACAATAAATCAGTATTTAAAATGTTAGTCTTGCTAGTTTTAAGAACATAGTAGAAGAAAGATGAGAATAAGCTGGGAAAGCAGTTGGTAGGCTACTAACGTAGCCCCAACAACTGAGGATGGAAGCTATGTCTACACTGGTGGCAATACAAGTAAGAGAGAAGAAAACATATTTACGACATACTGGAAGTAACACGTATAACACTTGGTAACTACTTAGATATGTATAATAAAGGAAAGGGAGGAAACAATGAAGATTCCCAGATTTCTGGTTTGTGTAACTGTGTAGATGGAATTTAGGGGCAACATAAGCTCAATTCTGAACAAGTGGGAGTCTGAGGATGTGAGATATCCAAGTGGAAATGTCAAGCAGGCACCAACGACAGATCTTTTCAAGTATTAATATTTGTTTCTTCATCTCAAAACAATTCATCTTAATTAACATTAGCTAAAGTAATAACCTAAAATCCAAATAATAAACTTCACAGGTCAAGGATTAATGTTCATAATGGGAGTAGCATATACAAAAGTATGCTCTGAGGAATACTCTCTCAAAATGTTGCCTGAAAAAGGGGGTCCATGGACAAATAAATTTGAGCAATATGGAATACTGATTATGTATATTTAGGGATTAACAAATTAAAAACCTCTAAGAAATCCTATGGCAAAAAGAATGTTTAACCTTTTCCAAATTTATTTGGCCTTAGAAGTTTTTGCACTAAGATCTGTTAACAAAGAATGGAACTGGCATGTTAAATGACACACTCTGGGACATACTGCATTATAATATCTGCATATGCTAATAGTAACTACAAACTATAAAGTTTAGCGATCATAAAAGAAAAGCAGAAAATGCCATTCAGTGTTTAGCTAGATCATGATAGAGAACCAAAGCATGGACTAATAAAGAATACTGGTAGAACTATTATTTACTAAAATTTTATGCGCCAAAACTTTTTATGTGGTAGCTTAAGTCCCATCAACACAAGCAAGTATCCTCCAAAATAAAGAAAACACAATTTCTATATTAACATAAAAGAAACACATCTTTTTCAAAACCTGTTATCTTGTCTAAGATGTACAGGCAGCCCTACCAACTTTCCAGAGAACGTAAGATGTACACAGGGTTAGAGGCCATCCTATGATTTCCTATGACAAACAAGACAGAGCCTTAATACAAGCAAAGTGGCTGCTAAATGTGAAGTCTGTTAACGTTAATACCTGGACGCCAGTGCTAAATTCAGATTTGTCCTAGGTCAGAAAAAAAAAAATCACCAGGGTGCTAACAAATTTGGGAAAAAACCTCATAATTCTCAGATGAAGCAAAATAACCTGAACCGTAAAAAAATGCTAACTGTGGCATCAAACGATGATAAATATAGGCAAGTACCAATTACATTGATGGCATTAATGTCTCTGTACTTCAAAATGTAAACATTTTTACATTTAATTTTAAACATCTTTTTGCTAAATGTTACAAAATGCTAATTTGTAATAATTTCATAATGTCACTAGATTTTTCTTACAAAAAATAATCATATAGCTAAACTAGAGAAGAAAGTAGTTTATTTTCCTTTATAAACATCCACAGCACCATCTATAGGCAAAACTTAAGTAAGCATGTTTTCAATACAGTTCTCCAGTAAAAGTCTGGGCCTTATAGCAATTTAATATAATATGCCTATATATGTACAGAAGATCTCTTGTAAGAATACCTGAAAAGGCTTTAATAGATTTTGGTCTCAGGGAGGAGAGCTAGAAAGGAACCAAACTTACTAGAAGTAGAGGTACTTGGGTGTAGAGGTAGAACTGCTGCCACCCCTCATTAAATGAACGATTTTATCTACCAGGTCTGAAACATTTGCTAACTTCTTCTCTCTTTCCTGTATTTGTCAGAGACTACCAACAATTACTGATTAGGATGAGGGGATACATTTTCAAATTGACCACCATGCCTACTACATCTGTTCATCTTTAGCATACTGGGTAGTTGTGGTGAAACGTACTTCCAGCTGTAATTCTGTATACTTTCTCCTAAGTTCAGTGACTTCTTCTCCAGCTTGCATCTTCTTATATAAATCCAGTTCCGTATCAAGCAATTCTTTCTGCATCTAGAAAATGGTAATTAATAATTTAAATGACAATAATTCATATCCTACATTTATAAAATGTTTAATAAAAAATGTTTAATATATATATTACTTATATATATAATAGTTTCTGTATTTTTATATATATATGTGTATATATATATACACATATATATATATATATATATATATTTTTTTTTTTTTTTACGAAGAACTTTTATACATTCCCATTTAATCCATACATTCCTTCTCTATCTCCATCCAGTCCTACAGCCCTAGTCCAAGCCATCAATCATGTCTGGTCTACACTCCTACAATAGCTTCCTAATTTGTTCCTACTTCCGCTGATTTCCCTATAATTCATTTTCCGTACAGAAGCCAAAGTGAGGTTTCTATGGACTCATATGAACTAATTTTCAGGAAATAACTGGGAAAAGAAAAACAAAAAAACCCAAAGTGTTAATGAGCGCTATACAGTATGCTTTTATGTAGGAAAGAATACATACACGCCAAGAGGGAGGGAAGAATGGGAACAGAGTGGCAGGAATCAAAGGGAAACGGTCTTCTATATATACCTTTTTATATAGTTTAACTTTTCAATCATGTTTATGTTTTATTTATTCAAAATAATATTAAATCAGCAAGAATGAAGGGAAGGGGTTCAAAACAGACTATCACTAGAAATACACCTAACTTTACCAAATTGATAACATAACCGCAGAAACAAACAAAAAAAGTAATCCTAGGCCACAGTTCTGACTCTATATCCTTAGTCGAATATACAGTGAACTTTTAAAGAATACAAATAAATTTTGAATCTTTTACTTAGTCGTTGGAAGTGGGCTTCTTGTAGCAATTCTGGAACTATTTGGAATGTATTAAATGACTGTGCAAATGAGTACCGTACTGGTGTTAGTGGGAAGCAAGTTGTCATTATGGGAACGGAACACGAAGATAAAATATGGAATAAGGAGGAAAAGAACCCTGAGGTGTTGGATTAGAATCAGAAATATCAATATGAACTCATGATTCTACACATGTATGTACATACACACAACACCAAATATAAATACTATATAACTCTGAAGTTTTTAAAAAATCACTTATCAGGTGAAATTATCTTCCTTCCTTATTTATATCTAATGGATTGATCTATCTAAATTTCCCTCCTTTTAATCAATTCTATATAATGCTGTTAAAATGTTACTTTTGTTTATTAACCTTTTAGACTATGAACTTACAAAGTTCAAACTCTTCAGTCAAGTATTCATCAAGCATTCAAGTACCTGTATCACTTTGCCCTCAAGATATCTTTTTAATTATTATTATTATTATTATCCATAAATATTCTAATTATGGACTTTTCCAACTGAAATCTAAAAAGTTTAAAAGATGAATAGAGTTTTGTTTGTATATATTTACTATTAATTAATGGAGGGAAAAACGTTAGCATGTAATAGTCAGATTTTAAGCAAAGGTTATTACCTAAAAGGAAAACAATGTTAAACAATGCAGCACTGTAATGTTTTCAGTAAGTAGTAATATGAATAACAACATAAATTAAAATACCTGAGTCTTGGTTTTTATACTCTTTGGAAGACAACGTCCAGGAGAAGCAGCTTTGACCTCATCTTTCAACTTGGTAATATTTTTTGTCAAAACTTCTAAGGTTTTCATTATTTCTGCTTTATCTTCAGACTTCATTGCTTTGTTTTTCTCTAGTTTTGAAATTAACATCTGCCAAATTTTTAAAAAGTGAAAAACTAAGATACACAAAGTAAACATAGCAAAATAAATATAAAAATAAGTAACTACTAGTTTTAGTTTACATATTCATGGCAAGGCTTACAACCACTAAGACAGCAGAACAGATTTGGTGATGCTATCTCAACTCAAACCTTAATCTTGGAACATTTTGTGAAGAATTATATTGCCACTTGTCTCTCAGAATGTAAGTTCAAAGAATACAACCTTAAGAAATTCAACTGAAAAGCTGTCAATTTGAAGCAATACTTCAAAAAGTAATACTTTTACTTTCTAATGTATTTGTGGGTATTATGGTCTCTAAGTATTCCCACTCCAAATGTAGTCTACAACCCAGAGAGACGCACAGAAGTTTTATGGTTCCCTTCACATAATGAGATCTTAAAACAATTAATTACTTTCTTTGTCACAGGGAATAGGAACTGGCTAACGTATAAATGGTATCGCCAACGTGGACAGGAAACAAAAGATAAACAAGGTACTATGGGGTGAAAGATACCACATATTATAGGTTTTATGAGTCAAGGTAGCTGCAGGTTTTGGTGTCAAGTACTGTGATTTCTTTATCAAGTACTGTATACCCAAATTTAAATTAGAAAAGATACATTTTAAGCCAATATGTAAAAAGTTTCTGTGTTTTTAATATTTTGAGATGCCATAACCTTTATTACGAGACATAATCAGGAACTGGCACTAATTAAATGTCATAACCTAGAGCAACAATGTACAAAAGAAATACTGTAAGCCACATAAGTAATTTTACATTTTCTAGCAGCCACATTAAAAAGATAAAAAAACATAAAACAAAAAACACCCAACCAGTAAAGTTAATTAATACTGTATTAAACTCAGTATATCTAAAATGTTATAAGCTTCAACAAAAATTATTGAGACATTTTACTTTTCTTCTTTGTATTATGTCTTTGAAATCTGGTATGTATTTTTTTTTTTTTTAAATTTTTTTAATGTTTATTTATTTTTGAGACAGAGAGAGACAGAGAATGAACAGGGGAGGGGCAGAGAGAGAGGGAGACACAGAATTTGAAACAGGCTCCAGGCTCTGAGCTGTCAGCACAGAGCCCAATGCGGGGCTCAAACCCACGAACCGTGAGATCACGACCTGAGCCAAAGTCGGACGCTCAACTGACTGGGCCACCCAGGCGCCCCTATATTTTATATACTTACAGCACATATCAGTTTGAACTTGGAACATTTCAAGTTCTCAAAAGTTGGTTGTAGCTATTACTACCCCACTGGACAACACAAAAGTAGAGGATCCCAAGAAAATTAAAGAAAGGTACATATCTCAACACTGAGAAAAAGTTTCCAATTCACTATCTGTTGACAAACTACTGTGCAGCAGCGTATCTGGATAAACATTCCTTATTTCTACTTCGCCGGCCACCACAGTTTCTTTAAACCAATATAATCCCCACTTCACCATTTAATGTATGCTCTTCATCCCCAATACACATTAATCAACTGACATACACATTATCATTTATATACATTTCAGTGTTACCCTTATCAATTTAAAGTTTCTTAAAAGTAACTATATAGTGTGAGATTAAATTTACTTAAAATTATACCATCTATATTTTGCCAAATCTAGCTTAAATATTTTACCTTCTGTGTTTCAATGTGCTTTTCTAAAATTTCTTGTTTCCTTTTCCTTACATCCTGCTGAAGTTTCAGTGCCTCCTAGAGAAAGATATCAAAATATCACTAGTATACTTACTGTTTATTGTTCTGATAAACAGATATTCCAGAGGAGACAAATGGTTGTGGATGCAGAAGCTTGGCAATAACAATTAAATGCAAAGTTTTGGTATGCAAAAGTTAACTATGTATGTAAGTTTCTAAGACCAATCAAGAGAACCTTTTGTCCCCCTTCCCAAATTAATATTTACTGCTATACAATGAAAAATAAAGGTTCAGTGGCAGCCAACATACACTTTTCTTTTAGCTCTATTTTGTGATAAGCCTTAAAAAAAAATACACACACACACACACACACAGACAGAAAAGCTTTCCTACATGCAAATTTTGTACACTGCTAACTGTATTTACCTGTTTTTTTTTCTGTGCTTCATTATTATCAACTGCAGAGGTGGAAACAAGTAAGGTTTTCTGTGCAGCCTTCAAAGCAGCTGGATTATATACTGTTTTAGTTAGGCCAGTAGATGTAGACAACACCTACCAATACAAATTCAGTTTCTTAAAAAATGTACCAAGCATTCATGATTACCTATCTTGTTTTCTATAAAACTCAATTTTAAAACACTTTTGTCAAAATTCAGTACATTGAAATAAATGTATTATATACATAAAATAACTAAAGCACATTTAGTGATTTGAAAGGAAGGGTATGAATGAGGCTTAAACTATAAAATAAAAAAATTAACAGAATATACCTATAGAAAAAAAAGAACATACAAAAACTTCAAATCAAGAAAAAAACACTGACGTGATATAGTCACAAAGCCCTAATCATTTATTTCTTCTACCCAGATCCTTCCATGAAATTTTATTCCTACAGTTACTCAAATATTTAATAAAAATCATCTGATGGTATATTAATTTATGTGTCTCTCTCCCTGTCTACAAAACCATGTTTTTCTCCTCTTTGTGCTTTTTCTAGTACCTAAACCTTATTACCAATAATTATGAGACCCTGGTTAACTTTAGGCACTTTTTTGGGGCCTCAGCTTGCTCATCTCTAAAATGAGAATGTTTAAGTTGATGGCATCTAACGTCCTTACAAATTCAAAAATTCATTCCATGAGGGTAGGGATGTTTGGCTTGGTTTATCACTCTATCTTCAGTGCCTAAAACAGTGCCAGGGCACGTAGTCAATACTCAATGAACACTTCTGCACCAAATTAAACTGAAATGATGATAGATCAGGATGGACAATCTTTTCTACACAAGGGTCAACTCAAGAAAATAAACTGTACAGGCTACCTTTTTTATCCTTCAAAAGCAAAAAGTTGTAGGTTCAATGGAGTGGTTAGTTACTGGTTCTTAGGAGTTTAGAGATCCCTTAAGGGAAATCCATGAATGTTATAAAAACTAAACATGGAACCATATGTGTGAACAGTGTAACTTTCCAGAGGAAAAGAAGTTTCCAAAGAGTTAAGGGAGCTCATGACCTAAAAGAGGTTAAAGGAACTACACAAACAAGATTATCAATGAGAAAAAGAGCCCACCATTTTAGCTAGTAAAATGTAAACATCCAGGTCTATTAGAGAAGTAACAAGCAGACACTATTTTCTAATCATCTATCATACAGTTAGACTAGGGAACATCACAAAGAATAGGCAATTCATCACTGTTCTAAGTATTCAAGAATGTTTTAGCCTCCATGTGAAACAGAAATCTAGAATACTGTTGGGGTGCCTGGGTGGCTCAGTGACCAACTCCTGATTTTGGCTCAGGTCATGATCTCACAGTTATGAGTTTGAGCCCTGCATCAGACTCTGCAGGCAGTGTGGAACCTGCTTGGGGTTCTCTCTCTCCCCCTTTCTCTCTCTGCCCCCATACCTTGTTCTCTCCGCCCCCTCCCCTCAAAATAAATAAACTTAAAAAAAAAAAAAAAAGCTTAGAATACTATTATACTGGTTGCATGCAAGGCAGATGATGTTTAAAAATAAAAGTTCTTTATAATACTTCACATATATCAAATCTGGTAATTTTCTTATATAATGAAAAGTAATACCCTGACATCACTAACAAATAATGAAATTGTTGCATTCAGTAAAATATGGAGTAAATCTAGAGTTACTTTGCAGTCTGACTTCAGTCACTGTTCTCTGTAACACTAGAGGCAAATTTCTTCCATGCTACCTTACCATACTACACAATGTTAAACTGCAGGATTGTACAAGGATTAGACAGTAAATTCATAAAGAGAGAAACACAACATTATATGCTAAAGACAGAGTTTGAGTGTCTCCTAAACTTTTCTTCACGAGGGTTCCAAGACAAGTTGAAAAGTTGTGACCAAAAAGATTTCTATACTCAAATAAGTTGGAAGTAACAAATAAGTAACAAATATCATAACCCTATCTTCTAGTTTCAAAATGTCTATTACCATAAAAGTTGTGAGAGAGCCTGAAGTAAAGAAACCCATGTAATGCAATCTGTTTAATTCAGCATTCCTTAATTTCAGTATACTCCTTTTTCAAAGTATACTTATTAACTAATATCAGGCTAAGTAAGAAGTGGTGATTCAAAGTAAATAAAAATATATGACAAGCCTCCTTTAAAAGTATCCCACTTCCTTGTTTTATCTAGAAACTTCCTTCTGTACAAACAGAACATCAGCTAACATATTTCATTGAGCTCAAGACATCACTATGAAACACATTATGATAATAAACCGCTATTAAAGACAAAAAGGGTGCCAATTATAACCATGAGCACCAATACCGTAAGATATTCAAGTGTTAAAAAGTGAAAGCAAAATGTCTTAGAAACAATGAACTATATGAATCCAAATACTGCTCAGTATTTGAATCTATTTGATTCCAGAGTTTAGAAAGTAAGAGTATGAATAGCAAGGGACATCTGTATTTTCAAAAGAACAGAGTTGTGATAAAAGAGAAGAAAATCTGTTAAAAATGAAACCAGTGGAATGAAGTAACAAATCCAACAGAAAAGAAGATGCTGCAATTCCGAAGAACAAAGTCAAAGCATAGGCTGTGGCCTTTCAAACAACCACACTGTCTCTATTTTCCAAATGAGTTTCTTCATGTGCTATATTTTTATATATTGAACTTGCTGCATTCACCTGTGAATTCCAAAGATTTGTAAATTCTTTTGGATTTTTCACATATACTATCATGTCATCTGTGAGTAAATATAATTTTGTTTCTTCTTTTGCCACCTTTATACTGTTTATTTCATTTTCTTGCCTTACTGAACTGGTTAGGCCCCACCTCTACTGAATAAAGTGGAGAATGGATATCCTTTCTCGTTCCTGATCTCAAGAGGAAAAGTATCCAATAATTCACCATTCAGTATGTTAGTAGATAAAATTAAGGAAGTTTCCTTCTATTCCTACTTTGCACATTGTTTATTATGACTAATAAATTTTATCATATGCTTTTTCTACTGAAATAATCATAAGAGGTTCTTCCCACCCTTCTCCCCGCTAGGTGAATTAAACCAATTTTCAAATGTTAATTCAAACTTGCATTTCTGGAATAAATCCTACCTGGCCAGGATGTATTATCTTTTTTCATATCACTAAACATTTGGTAATATTTAGCTTAGGATTTTTATGTCTACATTCATGAGCTATTGGCTTGTAATTTTCCTTCCTTGTAATATATTTGTCAGGGTTGGTGTCAAAGGTCTGTTGAATTCAAAAGGTGAGCTGAAAAGTATATGCTTCGTTATTAAAATGTACATCACTCATACCTCTTACTTCAAGACAAAAAACAATTCCCTAATAAGAAAGAAGTTGAAATCCATTAATACCTCTTTATCTTATTTCCAATGTAAAATATTACCAGCCATAACTACCATTAGTACTTGTAAAGAAAGAGAAAAACAGATTTTTCTCATGGATAAGAGTGGAAGGGAAAAAAAAGTGTTTTGTAAAAATTACTAAAAATAGAAGACTTATATATTAAAGTCATCAGTGTTATTTTTTTAATAACTAATGTCCAAGTTGGAATCAAATATAAAAGGAACAATTACTATGGTTCACTGTGACAATCAAACTAAGCTAGCTCTAACAGGTTTCTACAGCAGAAATGCCTTGTTTAAATGTAATAAAAAGAGAATATGTGAGGAGTTATGTGTATATAGCTTATTAATACAATTATTGTATGGTCAACTTTTATTATAAGTAAATTATTTTAACAAATCTAAACATTAATATGATATTCTCATAAAGCAGCAAACTGATGTGTTTTTTTCTATAGCAAAAACCAACCTTAATTGGGAATTCTAACGAGAATAGCATTTTACTTTAAAGTTACATTTATAAGGGGCGCCTGGATGGCTCAGTTGGTTGAGCGTCCGATTTCGGCTGAGGTCATGATCTCATGATTCGTGGGTTCAAGCCCCGGGTCAGGTCTGTACTGAAAGCTCGGAGCCTGTGGCCTGCTTCAGATTCTGTGTCTCCCTCTCTCTTTGCCCCTCCCCTGAACACACTCTGTCTCCCTCTCTCAAAAATAAACATCAAAAAAATATTTAAAAAATAAAGTTACATTTATAAAATATTTTCAGGGATTAACAAGTTTTTCCCCCAAGAATATAAGCAGCTTAAGAGACAAAGGGATTAAAGAGCTTACAAAAAACATTTTAATGTCAAAGAAAAAAATGTGTAGTCAGTAATCAATTGCTGCTGCAACAGCTTGATTTCCAATAAATCCAGCATAGCAAATAATTTTATAGAAATCCTATTTCTCCATAAGAAAAATAATCGTAATAATTCTAACTAAATAATCTAGGTAATAATCCTGAGAGAGGTTAATGCATTAAAAAAAAAAAATCAGGGGCACCTGGGTGGCTCAGTCGGGTAAGCGTCCGACTTCAGCTCAGGTCATGGTCCCACGGTTCATGGGTTCAAGCCCCTCGTCGGGCTCTGTGCTGACAGCTCAGAGCCTGGAGCCTACTTCTGATTCTGTGTCTCTCTCTGCCATTCCCCTGCTCACTCTCTGTCTCTCAAAGGTGAATAAATGTTAAAAATTAAAAAAAAAAAAATCAAAAGTAGGAAATGATCATACATTCCCTTAGCCTTTATATTTACAACAGCAAAATTATACAACAAATGCAAATTAAAAAAATCAAAGGGTCACTTAGATGACTGCATTTTATAGCTCATGAAACAGAGGGTAAGACTTGTGCAGGATCATATAGACTGTCAGCTGCTAATTAAACAGCTGAAGTCTCCAAGAGACATGCAATGTTCCTTCAGAATACCACACAATTTCCCTTTCAAAGGTTCCATAGTACATATGTTAACATGTCATAACACAGAGACCAAGATATATTTTCAGATTGCAACAACAACAACAAAAAAAGTACTGCTAAGGAACAACAACATCCTGTATCACAAAAGTCTGATACACCTAAAACTGGTCTGACATACAAACATTAAATATTCAAGTGATTAATCACTTGCTTCTTAGTCTTTAGAAGAGCTTTGGGAGATAATCTGGACAGTCTAAGAAGTCTTTTTTCTAGACTAACCAGGATGGGATACACACAAGTGCCACCTTATTCTTGATAAATTGCTCTATCTCTTGACAGGTACTCAAACATCATTTCACTGATCACTCTTTCCAAATAATACCTATTTAACAGCTACTGCAATACCTTAAGATTTAACAGTTATCAATTAGGTTTTAAGTTTCCTCTCTCAACCCTCTCACAAAAATGGAATTCTAGAATAAAGAATCACTCAAGGGTTTACTTAGTGTTGTTCATAGAAAGGGGAAAATCTGTGTATATGTGTACTTCTTTGGTTTAATAACGACAGAAATACTGTATAAATACTAGCTTTGAGTACTACCCAGCCTTCAATTAAGAAGAATAAAAAAAGAATTTAAACAATATTTGATGACAGGAAACTCTTCTAACCTTCCTAAGACTTCTCTGAAATACTAACCTCTAAGGATTCTTCAGAGAAAACCCCTATAGACTTGGGGAACAGGAACAACCAAGAATAAGCAAAAACAAAACGCTATTCTATAAACGGGTTCCCTGAAGATGACTGAAAGTTACACATTTGTACATTATGGCTTTCCTCAAAAGAGTCTTTACAGTATTTCCTAAATAATTCTTTTTCACAAACAGCCCACTACTATTAGCGATTTTTCACAAATTTAGTTTTTGGTATCTATATTAGTAAATGTGTACTATTGATTCCAAGTTTATATCCCTTTTATCCTAAAGCTATACAAAACACATTTAAAAAAACAAAAGCAGATGCAAACATACCAGAAAGATTCTGTAAAACCTGTAATAAGTACACATCAACTTCAGAGTTGAAATCTTAACATAAACAGATGTTAAGCATAAGGTTTTTAGGCCTCTCCAGAATTGCTCAGTACTACACAAAGTATAACAGACTTTATTTTCTTTATTCCTTAGTTACTTATTATCAAGGAAAATAAACCTAACCAAAGTAAATATTTAGATACAGCTAAATTCAGTACAATAGATTAATACATGGACAAATTCACAGAAATAAGGAGGCATGATATGGAAAAAAATTGAAGACTTCATAGAATAAAGAGATTTTCAATCTTTAAAAGAATGATGTGAATCCACTTAAGAGGAAAATGCAATCCAGGAAAATCACCACCAAAAAAAGGAAAAAAAGGCAGGCAAGACTGAGAAACAATGAGCAGAAAAGGGAGCATTAAGGTAGAAAGGAAGGACTAGAGCAGAGGTAACTGCGCCAGAATAACTGGGGTCTGATGAAGTATAAATCAAGCAGTTATTTAGCCGGGGAAATGAAAGTTTCTGCAAGAGTTAACACTGAAGTGAGTCTCCGAGCAGGATGGTGGTAGTAGAAAGTACAGGAGGAACATGCAGCTAGGACACCACAGCTAAAGGCTGGAAACTGAGGGTGGCAGAAAAAGAGAAGTGGGTGACAAACACAAGTGAATGACTCTTGGGCTTTTGAGACAGTACAACTTAGAAAATGCTGATGTAACTTCCACAGGTTGGGGTACCAGAAATTCATTTATGTGGGAAATGGTCATTTCAGGCACATCATGCCTGAAGTATTGCTGAGGTGCCCAAGATGAAAATCGGATATACAGAATTAGATTCAGATTCAAATTTCTACAATTGCCTTAGTTTAACATGGTAAATAAGGAAAAGAATACACTGAAGAACCAGTGGAGAAAGAAAGTCAGCCATCTCATGGGATGCTGGTCTATGGACACATGAAGTCAACTTCCTACATAATCTTAATAATGGAAAGAGCCACGGATGTGAAATAGGAGACCCACATTCCAGTCCTGCCTCAAAATTCCTAATGTATCTATCTGAGCCTTACCTTCCTTTTAAGGTGAGGACATAGAAATGAGAAAGACTACCTAATTCTATTCCACATACCTCAAATAAGACTAAAGAACAAAAGCATTCACTCATACCTAAATAGAAAAAAAAACAAAAAACAAAAACAAAACAATAACAACACATCTACACCGAACTGTTAGGTACATAAATAGTCTTAATTTAATCAGTGTTTATATCCTCATTTAAAAAAAGAAATGACAAACTGTCAGGCTATGCACAATAGCTGTTAGTAATAAATAAAAAACTTGCATTTACATCATCCTGTCCAGTTAAATACTTTTAAATCAATCATTTTATTTAATCCTCACAAACCCCATGAGCAAGACAAATATTACAATCATCATTTTACCAATGAGGAAGAAGAATCAGAAAGGTTAGGAGCACTGCCCAATCTCATGCTGTTAGTATGTGAAGAGCCAGAAACTCAAACTCAGGTAAATTCCTACTTTGTGGCCTTTTCTATTAGGCTGCCAGAGTTTTCAAATCAAAATGCACAATATTTCTAAAGAAAATATAGTAAATAAAAAGAAAAAACAAAAAGAAGGAAGCACATGGACACATACTGAAAGGCAGATATTAAAATGCTAATGCAAAAAGTAAACAAAGGCGGGCAAATAGTTTTCTTTTTCAGCAAATGAAAAGCAAAAGGGTAGGAGTAAGAGGTACAGATACTATTAAGAAGCAAGAGTTTGGAACTATGAAAAAAATTAAAAACTTAAGATGCCACCTGAAAACATTTACGAAGCCAAGACAAACACATCATGCTATTCTTCTTACCTTTTCAGTTGCTGAAACAGATGGCTTTGATACAAAACCCAACCTGTCCTTCACAGATAATTTAGTTACATTCTAAAAAAATTAAAATGGACATATTCAGTGTTTCCCCAAACATATAGGTCTGTTGGGATTTTGAACATTCTGATTCTACTAATTTATACGGACTCTTTTAAGTATTTTGATGTTAATGACAAAAACTTGGGCCATTTTCAAAGTGACAGAAAGAAAATGTGTATGGAAAAACAAACAGTATGCAGTATTACTCAATCATAAAAAATGATGCAGTAAGGTACTTACTAAAAGCCCCCTCCATCAATACAGAATCATAAATTCTTAGAATCCTATGTTGACAAGTAGGAAGTTTGAACATTGTAAATATTAGATGTGAGTATGAGTAATTAAAATATATGACTGCTTCTCGAGCTTAAACGTAAATGCCATTCTTTCCTAAAGTATGTTTGGTTTGTAGCCAAATATACTGGATCTGGTGATGATTTGAGATCACAGGACTGGGTTTTTTTTTTTTTTTTTTTTTTTTTTTAGTAACTAAGAATTTATCAATTTCCATTCTGCATGTTTTCATAGAATCTCAATACCTCATGCTTCAGGAATTATCTAGGAACACTATTTTAAGGAAGTGGCATCCTATCAACATCCTACCTCTAAACAGCAAATGCTTAAACATCTAGAGACAAAAGAAAGCTAAGTTTCAGACGCTTAGGGTGTAGAAACAAGAAACTGCCACTCAAGTGTGGAAGGGAGGGGAAGGGAATGACATGTGGAGAAGAAAATCTGAAAGTCAGGAATAAGTGATGCAAAGTTCGGAGACTGCTGCATATATACCTGGAAACAGGATAGTATCAAAGCGTGCTTAAACTTGATGGTTTATCCCTTCCCTTCCCAGAAGCTTTTGGTTGAGTTTGGTGTACAATTTTCTCTGGAATAAAATTCTAGTTAAGTAAAAGATGACAGGAAAAATAAGATTTACTACACTGAACTTCATTTTTCAGGCAGTTTTGCTTGAAAAGTACCTCCTCCACAAAGTGAAAGAAAAATAAGTATTAATGAGAGAGAGGAATTTAAAATTCGAATACTACAGGAAAAAGTAGAATATGAAAATGTTATGGTAATGGTAAAAAGAAAATTTATAGGTGGAGTTCAAATATGTACAGACTATGATATTTCTGTATGAAATATATACAATTAACTATAATTCAAATCACAAGGGAAACTAATTTACTGAGAACCTGCTATGTGACAGACACAATGTTAAGACTTTTCATTTACCTGAGGAAGGTCTGAACTGGCACTTTGGGCTTCTGCCGGTTCAATAGTACTTGAAGGTACTGGACCCAACCGCTCTTTGACTGACTGCTTCACAACAGGCAAAATGGGCTGCTGGACTAAGGGCTGCATTACCTCAGAACAAGAAAAAAACGTTAACCAAGAGGATTAGTTCATGAACTTGGAAAGTAACTTTTGCTAGTTTGTTATTAAATTGCCCACACAGATACAGTTTTAAAAGCACAGCTTACAATCAAAACCTGTCTTCCAAATTCCTTCACACATACCCACAAACGCTTTTCTTTGCATAAATTATTTGTAAAGTAGGGGAAAAAAATTAAAAATCTACCCTTCGCTGTATCTTTTGTATCTTTTAAATGAAAAGGAGAAAGTTAAATCGAGAAACAAATTGCTATAAAACTCTCCTACAAGCAATTGATCTAACTTTACAGACTGATTGGCTCAATGACTGAAAAACAGAAAGAGGGAAGGAAGGAGGGAGAGAGGAAGGGAAGGATTTCCAAGATGAACACACAGTCTGAGTTTCTGGAAAATGTATAGCTGCCATATACTGAGTGTCTACTGCCTACCAGGGACCTTTCTCTAACTTAGCATCCTATAATTGTCTAAACTAGGAATTCACTTCATAATAAAATGAGAGAACAGGTTGGAGACATTAAGTAACTTCCTTTAGTCTCTACAGCCAGCAGTGGAAGAGCCAGAATCTGAACTCAAGTCTACCTGACTGCAGTAACTCTGTTCTTAAACACTATGCTAAGAGCTTTCTGAGGAAAGCACTGAATTTCACACAAATCTCTCTCCTACCTTTGGAGAAGTAGTTTGTAACTGCTGGGTACTTCCTTCTCTGTGCCAATAAACCTTAATAAAGCGATTGTTTAGTACTGCTTCTGTACTTGATATTGCTTTCTTTGCTTCTTCATATGTTGCAAATTGGATAAGGGCACCTTCAGGATCCCCATTATAAGCAACCTAAGATTTAAAATATGAAGAACACTGAATTACAAATGAATCCAGTGCTTCATCCAATAAAATTCCTCAAGAGATGAGATTCTGGTCCTTCCCGGTACTATTCTTTGTTTACCCTTTCTTTAAAGCTAGATTATTTACCATGGTTTACTTTCACTCCAGAAGAAAGGTAAACTGAGTACTGTTCAGAATAGAACCAGAGCCTCCTCTATGTAATACTTTGTAAAGAACGCTCATTGCACAAATGTTATATACAAGCAATCAAAACGTTTCATTTTTTACCCCCAATATTAATACTGAGAAATAATCCCTATATCAATGAGTGATGAGGCCAAGATCCAGAGTCAGGAGAAGCCAGTAAACTACCTTGAAAGAGGTGACTCTAACTAAAAATTACAGAAAAATCCATTTGTAAAAATTTCCATATTCGCAGCTGTCAAAAAATATTTCCAAGAGTGTGAGAAAATTTAAGGGGGGGGAAGGGATTTACATAACAATAGCAATTACACTTTACACATAAAGAAAATGAGATTCAGAGTATGTGAGTCTGCAGATCCATACAAATAACAGGTAACAGATCCAAGGCTTTTCACTTCAAATTTCTTGTTCTCTCAGTAATAGTAGTGTTTTCTAAAGTGTGGTACACAAGTCATTGGTAGTGAAGCAATACAAAATAGGGACTAAGAGCACAGACTCTAAATCAAATTGCATGATTCAAACCTTGACTGCTATGTTCATGGGAGACCATGAGCAAGTTATTTAACCTGTGACTGTTTCCTCTTCAAAAATGGGATAACAATACCTCACTCTGTAGTGTTAAGAATCAAATAATAATTTATATAGAACAGAGAATATATAGTAAGTATTCAATAAATATTTACTTTTACAAGGGTGATTTTAGGTAGCATGTTAATAATCATACATTTATTGGAATTTAAAACTTCAATTTTACCCATAGGCCTAATCAGAATAAAGTTAATTTTTAAATGATTTTTAAAAACATGTTTTGCATATAATAATACAGGTCGTATGCATACACAGCAAAAGGCCTAGTAAAGAGATGAGATATTAACCTCACTAGTAACTGAGGAAATGCAAACTGAAACAACAGTGAGACCGTGTTTTGCTCCTCAGCTTTGAAAAATTTCTTAAATTTAATTTTACCAGGGCAGTTAAATTGCACAAGGAAAAGAATCTTCTGAAAACTTTTTGTGTCTGGATCTAAATGTGGGAGATACAATTGTATTGCTGTAAAAAGATATTCAGAGACATTCAAGATTAGATAATTACAGGGTAATACGTATACCACGGGCCTATATATTTTTTATTTATTAAAAAATTTTTTTCCGAACATTTATTCATTTTTGAGAGACAAAGCATGGCACAGAGAGAGGGAGACACAGAATCCGAAGCAGGCTCCACGCTCTGAGCTGGGGCTCAGACTCACAAAGTGTGAGATCATATATTTTTTAATATATATATGTTTTTGATGTACTGATTGAATGATAAGTAGACACAGAAATACAAAAAAAATCTAAAATAATACATGATAAATTGTCAATAATGTAATTATGGGGATATATGGTAAGGGGAACTGAGAAGGACACACAGCTGAAGGAGAAACACTTTCTTTATATTCTATATAAATCTCTATTGCCCCATACCAAGAAAGCATTCATTTTTTTCATGTTACTTTTATATTATTTTTTAAATGTTAAGAGGGGCGCCTGGGTGGCTCAGTTGATTAAGTGTCCAACTTCGACTCAAGTCATGATCTTGAGGTTCGTGGGTTCAAGCCCCGCACATTGGGCTCTGTGCTGACAACTCAGAGCCTGGAGCCTGCTTCGGATTCTGTGTCTCCCTCACTCTGCCCCTCCTCCGCTCATGCTCTCTCTCTCTCTCTCTCTCTCTCTCTCTCAAAAATGAATAAACACTAAAAAAAGAAAAATTTAAATGTCAAGAAAGCAAAATTTTCCAAATAACATCAGCTGTACTAAAATTTATTCTTATTTTCATCAGATTAATGGAAAGAATTATTTTAGCTGGCAAAAATGGGGGAAGAAAAAGGCCCTACATTATTTAACACTTTCAGTATACCTAATAATGTAAACTTAATACTGAATAACCTTACAAGTTAACATACACTCCAGCCAAGGTCTGATTTTAGGTGAAGTCAAATACAAATTACATTGATATTTAATCTTGAAGGACATTCAAAAGTGATAGGGGAAAAAGTAAATGTTTAAACTAATTATGGATTACATGGTATTTGGGCCCCAAAGGTATCTGTTACATGCTTCCCAACACATACAGGCAGCAAAAATAATCAGACTGAAACTTTCTGCAGTAATAATGTGGAGAAACTAAGGAAATGAACACTACTATAAAGACTAGATTTTCCTAGTTTGACGATTTAAAGTTTTTATAATTCTATGATAACTTCTATCAGGTAAACAGTACATAAAATGTGATCAAACTCCTGCTTTTTGAAAGTAAAAAAAACTTACTCAAAATCACACAATATTTCAAAAATATAGTTTCATTTCATTTCCAATTTTCCAAATTTAGAACATAAGCAAATTTTCCATATTCCTTTATAAAAGTATTCTTCTACTGTATTAAGTTTCCTCCTAAAATAAGCAAAAACCACAAAATTACTTTATAGCTCTTACCTGTAAGTTAACCAAGGTTCCAAATCGACTAAAATGTTCATTAAGTTTGCTGATATTATTTAATTCTGGAGGAACTTTTCTAAGTTCAAGTTTGGTATTTTCATTTCCAAACTGAACCTTTTTCTGGAAGCCTGGGCTGTTTGTTCTATTAAAATTTGGCCTGTAACAAAAATCAAGCTGATTAATACATTCATTTGTAAATCGTGACCCCTATCAAGTACAGATTAATGAGGTTTTACAACTTAAGCTTAATTTTTTTTTCAAAACTGAAATTACTGGTTGATAAAGAAAATTCAAATTTCTTCCAAAAACTGAAATTTCCATTAGTAGTATATGTATCTTTCATAGATGCCAAATGAGAAGGGTTCTTGTCATTTATCATGTTCCACTTTAAATCCATTCCTACTTAAAATTCTTAGCAGGAAAGATCCAGCACCCTCTTTCAATAAATTTGCATATATAATTTTTGTTGTACTTCTGCAAAAGCTAGCTTACTGAAATGTATCCTATTCTAAAACACTGATTAAAAACAAGAAATGACTGTTTCAACCACTTTCCAACTCAGAAAAAATGTCAAAACTATAGCCCATAAATTTGACTATTGAATAAAGGACAAAACTGTGGCCCAGGGAAGTTACACTGCTTGCCTTAAATCACAGAATTACAGGCAGAGCCAGAACTAGGTATTAGCCATTATTAAATGATATTAAAGTATGAAGTGTGATCCTTTCCTTTAACTTGCAAATATTCATAAGAGAATCATCACACGCACCCCAAAATTCAGATTCCTTACCTCTTTCTCTGAAGCCCTTCCCTGACAATTTGTGTCTATCCAGCCTCCCCTGCTCCCCAAAAGATCACTTTCTAGCTCTTAACAGGACTGGCCTACATGCTAAAGCCTCCTCCCAAACCAGACCCAACCTCCTTCCTTAATGGGCTCATGACTATCCTTTATATAGGTAGTTTTCAGTGACATCTCTAAGTGAAGTGGTGTTTTTTGGGGAGATGCAGGATGACAGAAAGAGGAAAAACTGTGTCCTCAACTACCACACCAATTCCATTTGAAAATGCCTCCCAAGTGCCAATTAACTTAAAAACTTTTGGAAACCAATGTACACACTAGTGTGGCATCGCCTATAGAACAAAGTTACAGAGAGTCATTTTAAAAGAGAATACTATACTGTCATAATAATATTCCAGTATTCTAAAAATCACTGCATAATAAAATTCCTCAATTTTCCCTGCCAGCTTACTTATCAAACCAGGTCTTCTTTGTAGGCGCTCCAGGCTCCCCGGAACCAATGGTTCTTTTCCTTGATTCAGAATCCACTACTATCCTCATACTGCTTTTATTAGGAGGCTTTTCTATTTGAAAAGAAAAGAGAGCACAGATTAATATTTTCTGTTTATCATAGCTATTTCCTTAAATGCAGAGTGAAAACAAAGTTCTGGCTTTTGTCCAAATATACATTCTTGGAAGAAATAGTTAAATGTATGTTCACATATAGTAATTTAAGGGATTTTAACTTATTTTGAGTTCATGTCATACATAAGTAAAGAAGACTCAGTAATTCTTACATGTCAAGTTAAACATGACTTTGTAAGCTACTTTTTGGGGGTGTGGAGGGTAAAATCCATATCACTGTTTCCATTTGCCATCACCCTCGCCATAAATAAGTAAATGTACAAATAAACAACAAATAAACTATCTTGAGGCTTTGAGTTCATAGTTTTGAAATCAAATGCACAACCTAAACGATTCAAAATGTAATATTAATCCAATGACCTTTCTTTAAGAACTGATAACTCAGAGTTGCGACTGAAGTGAGTTGCCTATTTAAGTATCAACATAGTAACACAAAGTATTCTTGACTTTAAAAAGTAAATATTCAAGACTGAAATACAGTGCAGAAGAGCAATATATATCTGCTACTTTGAACACTTTACATTTACTTTGTTGGAATTTGACAAGCACAGTACATTTAACCTGTTATTCCCAAATGAGCCTAAAGCTTAAAACATGCAAACCTTAATCCACACAGAAAAATATAATGGATACACTGATTGCATATATTATATTCTTAGTATTTTTGAACAAATAGCTAACCAAAGGAACTGAGGATTTTTCAGCACAATCTCTCTCGTGGATGGCTACAACTATGATCTCCACACAGGAGATCGTATCAATCTTTCTACCACACACAAGCTCTGCTCTAAGAATAAGTCCTAAATTTTTAATTTGTTGGTTTTCTTTGGCCATCTTCTGGAAATCCTACAGGTTTCTCAAAATTCACTACAGTATATACAAAATACAAATTATCTTTATATCAAATGTATGTTTTAAAATCTTTGTTAAACATTACTATCAATGAAACTAACATTCTCCCAATCATACTGATTTCTGACTCTGCCCATATCCCTTCAATTCATCTTGCATATATTCCCTCCCATTTCTCACTGAGACAATCTTAGTACAAACTTGCATTACTTTTCACGTAATCTACTGTACTAACTGGATTTCTGTTTCTGGATTCTCCTTCCAGAAATTTATCCTACATAAAGAACTGGCAAAATCAGTGCCCCACCGCTCTGCTGCTTTCCTCCCTCTTCAGCCTCTTCCTCTAAACTGACACTTCCCTACCATTAACATTGAAGCAAGCTCGGGGCGCCTGGGTGGCTCAGTCGGTTGAGTGGCCGACTTCGGCTCAGGTCATGATCGCACAGCTCGTGAGTTCGAGCCCCGCGTTGGGCTGTGTGCTGACAGCTCAGAGCCTGGAGCCTGCTTTGGATTCTGTGTCTCCCTCTCTCTCTGCCCCTAACCCACTTGCATTCTGTCTCTGTCTCTCTCATAAATAAATAAAAACATTAAAAAAAAAATTGAAGCAAGCTCAAATTACTCCATATTTATTTATTTATTTATTTATTTATTTTAATCTTTATTTATTTTTGAGAGAGAGACAGAGTGAGAACAGGGGAGGAGCAGAGAAAGAGGGAGACACAGAATCCAAAGCAGGCTCCAGGCCCTGAGCTTTTAGCACAGAGCCCAACATGGGGCTCAAACTTACGAACCGCGAGATCATGACCTGAGCTGAAGTTGGACGTTCAACCGACTGAGCCACCCAGGCCCCCCAAATTACTCCATTTTTAAAAGAAACTGCATAAAACTACTTCCTCTCCAGACACAGGTGTCTCCCTCTCTCTCTCTCCCCCTCCCTCCCAACCCCCCCTCCCCCCCCCCAGCTATTTCCTAAGAGGTATCTGCCTACATTTGCTAACTTGCTTCCCTACCACCAATTTCCTCTGGAAATTGGCAGCTGCTTCCATTACTGAACTGAACTTGTTCATCCTAAATTCCCTGATGTCCTAACTTGTTGCTTAAGCTTATAAATAAATCCCAATCCTTCTCTTATTTGACCTCTCAAGAGTATTAAATGCTGTTGATCACCTTCTTCTCCTATCTTCTCTTGATTTGCAGGACTCTGCAACAGGATTTTTGACCTTACTCCTGTCTCCCAAGCCTGGCTCACTAGATTTTTTGAAGTCTTTGAGCTATCTAATATCCTTTTTTACTTTATTATGTTCTTTACTTGAAGGTTCACTAACAGAGACAGTAGTAAGTTTTCCCCCCAGTCACTGTGATGTGTTTGTTCCAACTCATCTATGTTCTCTATCAGATTCTCTTTCATTGTTATTTATTTAAGACTGTTAAACAAAAGCAAATTCTTCTTGGTATATAATTAGCAAACTATTAGCAAAAAAAAAAAAAAACTATTAGCAAAAATAGTGTCTATTAGTTATATGTACTGAGTTTTTCCCCCAATATCCTTTTAATGAATTGGGTTTTTTTTGCTGACAGCAAATGAAAAACCACTCAGCCCTTATTTCTATATATATCCAGTGAAGGGAACATCCATCAAATTCTCTACCACCTTAGAAATCTGAAAAGAACAATTCTCAGAGCCCCTCGGTCCCTTTTATACTAGGAATTCTAAGGCATCAATGTGCCTATATTTTTTCATTTGTTTAATAATGAGAATTCCTCATAAGTTTAAAGTATGAAACATAATGGCATAATTATCACATAACAGTCTGTGACAAATTTAAATTAAGGCCATCTACAGACTATAAGAAATGTACATACAGTATTATATAATAAACAATATTAAAAACTTTTAATTATGCATCCAGGACAATAAATTTCAAACCAAATAGGCAAAAGATGAAAACTTCTTAGGGGGAGAAAGAATGACAAGAGTTGAGAAAATAGAAGTATAAGTACTACTCAATTTAAATGGACTGCTAAATCAGTTCTGTGGTACCGAGAAACAATGTTATTACTGGAAAATATATTCCTAAACCAGGTCACAAAAATAGTACAGGGTGTATCTGAAGAACAGTACTAAAATAATCACTACGTACAATGATTCTATAGGAAAGGGCATTTAAATTTCTAACCATATATACTAGACATTTCTCTCTCAACAGGGCCACTTCCTGTAACTTGTAACTACAAGCATGGGGAGCTGAAACTACCCTCAGTGCAACTTCTACATTGTTGCAAGATTGTTTGCAGGGAGTGTGGGCCTTCTTCCTTTCCTTAATAACCAACAAAAAAGTTTGCCTGGCATTGGAATGGGTCTAGTGAAGACTGATCTGTAGTAGCATATATTTATGACATTCCAAAGCAGCAAGTTAAGAGATGACTTCACGTGGGAGGTTCCAGTAAGAGCAAGAAGTGTTGACTGGCATGATGAAAAGAAAATACGTGCTAAGTAGTGAGTGACCAAAGAAAAAAAGGGTTTTCTCTGAACTAGTCAAGTAAGAGATTTGAGGGATAAAGAGCCACAATCTTAAGTGGCTTATAACTTTCATTTATGAGAAATCTTATGTCCCTTATATAAAACTGTTAAAAAATCTTTTCTTCTCTAGTTGTTAATGATAGCTATTAGAATTCCTCAATGAGAATTTAAAAGGTATGAAGGGAAAGGTGGCATCCACATGAAATCCTTTCCTCTGATGTCAAAGACGATATAAATTAAACTGGATATAAATTATAATGTTCCTCATATCTCTATTATAAAAAGTGCTTTGAACACTGAAGTTAGATGCTCAGAATCCGATAGTTTCAACAAACAAATCAAAAAATGCAAAGTATAGTAATCACAAGCTTACTAAACCACATTAGGTATTGACTGTTAATTAACAAGTTGGGTTATTTTATTTGTGATTAATGAGGCATGACTTTTTTTTTTTTTTGACTAGAAAAAAAGGACAGCAAGGCAAGACTAGAAAGAAAATGGGATTTAAAAATTAGTTGAATTAAGGAAAAAGATCTATAAGTATTGGCCTGCATAATATTTTCCATTATGTCTAACAATCCCTCATCCCCTGATATCAAATACTATCTGTAGCAAACGCTCCCTCTTTCAAACAAATACCAGTGCTCTCCCTCCTCTGAACCTTCCTATCAGTTTGCACCCCCAGGACAGCAGCTTTGCTCCCAGCAGTCTATACATAGGTCCCCCCAGCTTCTGACTTTATCATCAAAACTCTTATCGTCTTCTCTCATTTAGAAATCTTATCATATAGTTTGTCTCCTCTAAGAGAATTTTAGAAGCTAATGAGTCACTTCCTAAAAAATAATTCCTTTTGCTTAACGTAACAAATTCAACACGTGTAAAATGCGTATCAACCACAAGTTTGTAAAGCTGATTTCATTATCCAATCTATGAAAAAAATATCTATTTTCAGGAATTAAGCATTATTTTCAAGAGTTTAAATGAACCAATTAAGACTGCAAATGATAGAAAATACCCCAAAAAGCTACCTTAGAAAATATGTACTTTTGGGAAATTCCTTTCCCCTTAGGTGGCAGAATAAAGTGGCACCAGTAACAGAAATAGAGAATCACACACTACCTTTTCTCTTAAGAGAGACCAAAGCATCAGAGGAATAAACTTAATCACCATCCCTTTCTCAACCCCAATAAATGCAAGACCACAATCTTTACAAATGTCTTGCCATTCATGATATGAAAATGATAAGAAGAGGGGCGCCTGGGTGGCGCAGTCGGTTGAGCGTCCGACTTCAGCCAGGTCACGATCTCGCGGTCCGTCAGTTCGAGCCCCGCGTCAGGCTCTGGGCTGATGGCTCGGAGCCTGGAGCCTGTTTCCGATTCTGTGTCTCCCTCTCTCTCTGCCCCTCGCCCGTTCATGCTCTGTCTCTCTCTGTCCCAAAAATAAATAAACGTTGAAAAAAAAAAATTTAAAAAAAAAAAAAAAAAGAAAATGATAAGAAGAGAAGATTAACCGGGGTACCTCTGGGTGGCAAATCCATATCCCCTGATGTCAGTCCTATCAAGTTAGGCCTCTGTGCGTGCACTCTGTGTCTATACATAGGTCTGGAAGTGTTTGTTATGCTGGGGGCTTCAGGATTGTAGCCGTCTGTGTCATATGTATCTGGTAATACAAAAACTGTAATTAAAAAACAATTATAAAACGCCACTTGGTAATATTTTTACATTGATCATAAAAAAAGTACATTACACAACATATTCTAATATACAGCTAACATGCTGTATGTATCAAAAAGAAAATTTAGTTTTATAAAAATGAAAATGTTATTAAACAAAATATAACTCAGTTTTTAAAACAAATCATAAATGAAGACTTGCATTTAACATCCATTCGCTATATCTACATCTTATTCTATAGGATTTTAGTGAGAAAAATAAACCTAATAGAGCTAGTCAGTCTCTAGACGTTTTTATATTCCTACGTAAAACTCTGCTCTAAAACTTCATTACATTATGAATACAAAGAGGGGCAAAACTGCACCTGCAGTAAAAAGAGAGGGTGGAGCAGGAGGAGGCTGGTGATGGATGCCAGTCGTTACTACGGTAGGAACAGAACTGGTTGCAGAGTTTGGGGGAGCATCCATGCCAGATGGCTGCAAAGGAGGAAGTGGAGGTGGTGGTCCTGTCAAAACCAAAGAATAAGAAATATCATCTGAAAGCAAACAAATAAAATAAGTTACTATATATCCAAACATGATATTCTCATTTATCAGCACAATTATAATATCTACAAACTCCCAAGTTCTTACAACTGTATTAGTTTTCTAAGGTAAGATATCCTGTTAATGTATACCAAAAACAGGTTTGTCTTATAAGCTATAAAGGACTACTGGCAGCTGGGATTCATCAGGGACATGCATTAAGTCAGGGCCACTCCAAACCACAGTAAACCATAGGTCTGGCAAAGCCTGCGAAGTCAGAGTATATTCTAAGTAAGAGTACCTTGCTCTTAGTTTTTAGCAGGCAACTATAGGATTACTTTAGATATTTTTTAACAAAAGCAAGCATCAAACCATTAACTTTGTAAAGACTATGAAGAGACAGATATTAGTCACCAGCAAGCAAATGTAGTTACTTACCTGTGACAGGTGGAAGGCTGGGTGGTAATGGGCCTGGTGGTGGCACTGGGGGTCTCAGATTCACAGGTGGGGGTGTAAGAATTGGTGGAGGTGGGGGAAGTCCAGGAGGAGGCGGTCCTTCAACAACTGGAGGCTGTGCTGGGAAAGGCAGCATGCCAGGAAGATTCACATCTTCTACAACTACGGGGTCACTTCCGTGGTCAAAAGGGCACATGTCTCCTCTCATACAGAAACCTTTTTCTGTAAGGAAGAATAATGAAAAATATGGTTAAGTGCTGGATATATAAATTTTCTATAAGTTATCAAAGGCAAGACCTTTAAAAATAAAAAAAATTTAATATTGGGCCAGTTTAACTATATAAGAGCTAATTTCCAGTAATATAATTTTGAAGTAGATAATATAGCTAACACACACATTAAAAAATACATCACCAAATTAAAATAAGTCTACTTAGCTAGCAAGACATAATATATAACTTTTATAACATAATATACATATTATATAGTACATATACTTTTTGTCACTAGAAATATTTCATTTAAATCTCACCAAAAACTTTAAGACTATTGCAACTACAGCCTTAATACAAATTATAAAACTTTTACAGTAAAACTTTAAGAGTCTTCATTAATAAAATTCTTATACAGGTGAGAGTCACATGTCTAGGTTCTGCTTACATGCCAATAACTATTTACTTCTAAAGAAGTAAGTTTTGTCAAGAATGTTTCAGTAGCAGATTCTCAAATAACTCAGTAAATATTTTTGTTTGGTAAACTTCAAAAATATATTAAGATTTATGTGTAAATAAGCAATATCTTTAAATTGGTATACAACAGTCAGTGGTGACTAATGAAGGTTTAAATAATATGAGGAATTCAAGAAGTGCCTAAGACTAATTTACCACCATTTCCAATACATTAATTATCTTTGAGTAACTATAAAATCTAGACTCATGGAATGCTGTCAACTGGAAATACTGACTCAGAACATCATGAAACATTAGAAAGACTTACCATCATAGTCTCTACACCGTTTCTTTGGCATGGGTGGTCTTACATATGAGTTATGGTCCACTTGGTCTTCATGAAATTCAGACCAACTTTCGGTAGTGTTATTACCATGATGAGTAGGAGCAATTACCGTAATAGTGCTGCTCAAAGTAGGTACAGGGTAGTGACCAGATGATATATTGGGTACCGAAGAGACTGGAGTATAATTGTTTTCTAGTGGATCTGTTCTATCCAGGTCGTATTTAGGTTTTACTAGATCCCTTTCTGCAACAAAATATAAATGACTTATAAAATTATACTCTATTAAAAAGAAGTCCCAGATCTACAAAACAGTGGTAATTTTGCTGAACAGAAAAAAATGTTCATATTTTACACAGTCCTCCTTTTCTTTTGAAAACTACTAAATGAATATACAATGTTCCAAGATCAGCGGTTTCTTTTCAATATGACTTATACTATAAAATTACATATCATGTTGCTATACTTAATGAACATTTTTTCTGTTTACAGAAAAAAAGAGATTTATTTTCTTCACTACAGTCTTAGTATGCATAACTTCAGCCCACAAAACATACAACTAAAATATGGTTATTGTTTCTGTGATGAACATTTGTCATCTACCTAAAGTTCCTAGCATGTCTTTTTAATAAATACATTATTAATAATATTAATGGTGAAAGCTATTTATTGAAGATAGAAATGGATGAGCGAAGAGGAAGGAAAAAAAGTTCATATTAAACATGAACAAAAACATTAGCTAGGCTGTCTATGCTCCCAAGGAAAGAGAAAGGATTAAGGAGACTAGTTACGTAAAGCGATATGTGGAAAGGCCTAGTACACCTAGATCACAGAGGAGGAAAACACTAAGAAAAAAGTAACAAAGAAGTATAAAGCTTATACGCAGACTTGGTATAATAGAAATAAATATTGTTTCCCAATAACTAAAGGTGACTGTACAATATAGGCTGAAAGAGTAGCAAAAAATCTAAGCTTGAGTAAAGGTGTTTTATTTGAAGGTGTTTTAGTTGTTTTTATCTCCTATGGTTTCTTCCTTTCAATAACACACACTGGAAGAAAAATTATACATGTTGGAAATGACATGCTCTTGCAAATACACACATCTGAAATGAGAAATTTAATTGTTTTCTTAATTTTAAGGTATAAACTGAATACATTTATACAATTTAATGAATCGTATCTATGTATACACATGTGAAACCAAACACTGTAACCAAAATAATATACACACTAATACATAATCATCACCCCCCAAAAGTACCCTTTGCTCCTTAATAAGTCATCTGTCCTTTACTCCATGCCTGGTGACCACGGATTTGTTTCCTATCACCATAGATTAATTTGCATTTTCTAAAATTTTATATATAAATATATTCTTTCTCGTCTAGCTTCTTTCACTCAGCAGTATTATTTTGAGATCCATCCTTGTGTCACACACATTATCCAAAGTTCTGTTCTTTTCATCCACTGTACGGATGCATCAGTTTATCCATTCACATGACATCCGAGTTGTTTCTAGTGTTTGGCTGCTGCAAACGAACGTACCATGATCACTCACGTACAGTCTCCGTAGAAATACACTTCTGTTTCTCTTACATAAATACTCAGGCGTTAGGATAGCTGGGTCATTCAGTATGTATAGATTTAATTTTTAAGATACTATAAAAGTATGTTCCAAAGAGTTCAGTTTATCTCCATCCTTACTAATACTAGATAGAGTCAGCCTTTTCACTTTCAGTCATTCTGAAAGGCATGCAGTGGTGATTCACTGTGGTTAAAATGTGCATGAAATAAAAATTTTAGAAGAAATTTTTAAAAAACCATTCACTTGGACCACAAAATACATCAAAATGGAAAAAATGAAGACAACACTAACAAAAATTAAAACTGTTTTTAAAACCCTCAAATACAGTTTTTTCACAATAGAAGAATGCTAATCAGAATATACATATATATGAATTATTTACCCCGGCTTCGTGTTCTGCTTCTGCTTCTAGTCCTACTTCTATCCCTATCCCTGTCACGAAGTCTCTCTTTACTCCAACTTCGACTACGACTTCTGCTGTAACTGCGACTTCGGCCTCGTCTTCTATTGTACCGATCTCTGTATGAATCTCTTCGAGGAGGGTTTCGATCATAATCTCTTTTGCGAGAACGATCATCTTTTTTCCTCTCATCACGACTTCTAAAGAAATAAATGATCGCTTTTAGGAAAATAATTTTTAAGTGGATACAGGAAAAGAATCACTAAATGCAAAAGTATTATTTAATTCTTATAATGTTATGATTCTTTAACCCACCGCAAATATAGGAAACTCAAACTGAAAAAACTGAACATGATCTGCTCAAGAACTCTAAAACCCTTTAAAGGAAAAAAACCTCCCAAATAACTCAGTCCTTTGTCTTATACACAAAGACATTTTTACATTTAGCATCTGTACATCCTGTCGTATAGAACATACAATCTTGTACATATAACTCATACTTACAGGCATGTATCACATATAATTGGCCTCTAAATGCTTTTGAAGCCTTAGTGGGGAAAAATAATTTATTCACACTAAAGGGAAAAATTCATGCAGAAAACGTTCTCACACTAAGATTTCACTGGAATTTGAAGATGGAAATAAAAACAATAGCAATAATTAATGCATGCCAAGCACTTTTCTAAACATCACTTCCAGAACCTACAAATCTGACACAAATACTCTTGGTAAGAAAGGACTGAGTTGCACTGTCCTAGACCAATAGAAGAGTACACACTACTTGCCCCTAAACAAAAGATCATCAGTCTAAGCATTCATATAAAAGATATCCAATGTCTGAACAGTGAACATGGTTCAATAAATCGATCACCTATTTTCTCTGTATCGGGAACTTGACTGGGGAGGACTATGATTTAGCCTTCTGGAAAACTTCTTCTCTCGCTCTTCCTCCTTTGTGATCTGATATACAAAGAAAAATTTGCTAAGTTTAGCAAGTTATTCCTTGCCGTATTACTATTTCAGTGACTTAACTGATATTAAAACAGAAAAGTGTTTTCTTCTAAAAGCATTAAAAATATACATTTCGAAGTACAATCATTTCATTTAACAATAGAAAAAAGGCTTGTTGAAAGTTAAACTCAAACAAGACTCAAAAATGTTTATCTTAGATAGTAACAGCTGTGAAAAAACATTTAGACAAGTGTTCTCATTTTAACATTATTAGTCTAAAGCCACTTTTATTCCTTCTTTCAAAATTCCAACATACATTCATGTTTTGGTTTCATGAATTTGGTCTGGCACCAAACACATTAATAAATATAGGAGAATGCATTAGAACTAACCAAGTCAAAGGGCAGCTAGGTGACTCATTTGGGTAAGCGTCCGACTTCTGCTCAGATCATGATCTCACAGTTCCTGAGTTTGAACCCCGCATTGGGCTCTGTGCTGACAGCTCAGAGCCTGGAGCCTACTTCGGATTCCGTGTCTCCTTATCTCTTTCTGTCCCTCCCCACTTGTGTGTGCGTGTGCACACGCTCTCTCTCTCAAAAGTAAATAAACATTTAAAACAATTTAAAAAAATTTTTTTCAAAAATAAACAAAACACTAACCAAGTCAGAAAGAGAGACATATGAAAAAACAATAAACAAGGTGAAACAGTTCTTCAAGTTTCTCATAGCAGTACAGCAGCTATACATTCCTCCTTTCTACAAGGGGCCTCCATTCATATTACATTATTAATAGAAAGCACCCCTGGAAAATATTCCCTTTACCAATGCTACTTTTCTGAGGCCAGAATTTTGCATGCTGTACTGTCTAGAACAAGGTTACATAGGACATTAACAGGTGTTACCAGGAAAAACAGGATTTAGAGGATAAACAAATAGAGGAAATATTGAACATGTGGCTTCTGTAAATATGACAGGGCTCAAGGTTTTCCATTTTTAACAAGAAGTCTAAGATATTCTGATGCAGGCAGTCTACAGGATAATATAACTGTGTCCATTTATGCCAGTTGTTCCAATATCCCTCTGGGAGGAGCCTCTCACTGTCAAAAGTGTTCTATGTTGGATGAAAAATGGAAATCCTATCACTAAGCCAAACTTCGAGAAACACTGCTTAAAAGCCTTTTTTAATGCGAGTCCATAGTGTAAGATACTATGCATAAAAGAGTTAAAAGTAAACCTGAGACTGTTAGCCTCAGAAAGGCCTGCTTCTTGTAAGGTAAGCTCTTGGCTTGCATCTGTGAACTTTGATTTCTGAAGGGTTCCCATCATTCCCTGACAATAATAGCTCACTATATGCCTGAATTGTTTGTGTAAACAATATGGTTTTAGGCTGAACACATGCTCTCCTCTGGGAGTTTGAAATGTTGGTACATATTAGGCCGAAGGTTCATGTGTGACCAGCCCTAAATTGAAACCCTGGGCACTGAGTCGCTAAGAGCTTCCCTGGTTCACATGTGTTGAACTACTTGTTAAGATCTTCTGTGATTCCACTGGGAGAAGCCTATGGAAGCTTGTGCCTATCTTCCCCCAGACTTTGCAACACCCACTTTTTCCTTTTCCCTATGCTGATTCTGCTGTAAGAAATCACAGCCGTGAGTATGACAACAGGCTAAATCCTATGACTGCTCCAAGGGATGTTCTTGAGAAATCTCAATACAAATACAAAAAGTAAAATTCAGTTTAATTATTCCATGTATGTTTAAAAAAATTTTTTAATGTTTATTTTTGAGAGAGAGAGAGACAGACAGACCATGAGTGGGGGGAGGAGCAGAGAGAGAGAGAGAGACAGGGAGACAAAGAATCTAAAGTTGGCTCCAGGCTCTGAGCAGTCAGCACAGAACCCGATGAAAGGTTCAAACTTGTTCATGAACCGTAAGGTCATGACCTGAGTTGAAGTCGGACATTTAACCAACTAAGCCACCCAGGCACCCCTAATTCCTTATATGCTTTAAAAAAAAATTTTTTTTAACATTTATTTATTTTTGAGACAGAGAGAGACAGAGCATGACCGGGGGAGGGGCAGAGAGAGAGGGAGACACAGAATCGGAAACAGGCTCCAGGCTCTGAGCCATCAGCCCAGAGCCCGACGCGGGGCTCGAACTCACGGACCGTGAGATCGTGACCTGAGCTGAAGTCGGAGCTTAACCGACTGAGCCACCCAGGCGCCCCTCCTTATATGCTTTTAAAGAACATCCAAGGTTTAACACAAATCCTTACCTCTTCTTTTTTTATATCTTTTTCTTGGTGCTGAAAAAATTCTACCTTTAAGCTTCCTGATGATGGCTGCTCTGGAGGAGGTAGATAACTCTTTGTATTCACAGCATCAAAAAGTTTTTCCACAAATATCTGTGTCTCTACAAATAAAACCAAAAAAAAAAAAAAACCACAGATTCAAGAGATTTGCTAAGACATCAATTCTTCCCTTCTACACATCAGAGTTCAATATGATGGAATATACACTGACTTTTATAAATCTAGAACACTATAACACCAAGAGCTTTCCAACCAGTGTGCCATGGCACAAATCCTATGGTAATACTAATCCATTCAGTTTCAGAGTAGAGGGACTAGGATGGCCAGGGCTTCTAGGCCAGTTGCTTCCAGCCATGACTTGTCTCCATGTACCCCGTGCCCTGTGTGCCAAACATAAATATCATCATTATCTAGATGGTGGCAACATGAAAAAAGTTAGAAGCACTATCTAGACAACATTCAAAGCAGTTTCTTAAGCAGTACTATTTTTAAATAAACAAGCATTCAGTCATTTAATCTTTTAAGGAAAAGTATCAGCATGCTTTAAAAGAGAGAATAAAGATGTTAAGGGAAAAAAAGCTTCCATATATGGCTAACATCAGTAATAATACTGTTTATGACAATTAGAGCCTGTCCTCTGAGTTTCTTTCATATTGTGGAAAATCTTCCTTTAAATGATTTATTGAAATAAACTAGTATTTTTAAACCAAAGATTTTTTTTACCTTTTTGAAGAAATACATCCAGTTGATCAATACATAATGCCTTTAACTCTTTTTCACTTTTATCTTTCTTTACCAAAGCGAGAACATATTTTGCTAGGGCTGATGGATCTGCATCACAGCTGAAGAAAAAAACAATGTTGAAGGAAATTTAGCCATAAGCAATTACACATTCTAAAAACTCCAGTTATAAAACTGACTCAGTCAGTATGGTAGTTAAGTGAGTTAATATATGTAAAAAGCACCTAGCCCATAAAGCAATAAGAAATCGAAGTTCTCTCTTATAGTAATGTATTTTACATGATATATGTGGCCATTACTCAGTATCCTTCCACATATATACTAACATATGTATTAAAAACTCAGCAGGCTTTACTATTATTTAAAAGAGAAGTTTTAACAAAGTAAAAACAGTATCAAAACATCAAAAACGTAGTATTAGTGCGGCACCAATAAAAATCCAAAAAGGCTTCCCCTCCATCCCAATAACTAAATTAGCTAAGAAAATCCAGACAGAGAGGGCACTAAAATAAAACCTGAAAACCCACTACATAGTACATTAACAACAGAAACTTTAGCTTTTATAAAGGGCATTAAAGTATCCGGAAAAAAATAAGACAGTTACTTTAGAACTCTGGAATAATGAAGACTTTTTGAGTTATGGCAAGTTTTCACAAGAGTAATTTGATTGTACAAAAAAAAGGCAAAACTTCAGAATGAAGAGTCAAAAGACAAATAAAAAAAGCTCAAATTGTTTTTTGCAAAAGGTGAATTCTCCTAATATGCAGAGTTTCTATCAATTAGTAAGACCAAAACCATAAAAGAAAAAAGACAAAGAATACAAATAGATGCTGAACAGAAAAAGAAAAGTCAGTCTGAATATGAGTAAAAATACACCCTCATCCATAAGATAAATTCAAACTTAAGCTATACTGAAATACTATTTTTTGGTTATAAAATTGGCAAAAATCTAAAAAAGATGAAAATATATTCTGGAGATAAGGCTATGAGCATACAAGCAGTTTTTCTCAAACACCGTGGCTGCTGTGAGGAAAGCAGTAGCCCCTAAGGTATGGCAGCTTACAATCCCAAGTACAACGGACAGCAGTTCTACTTCTCTGAAGTTGCCTCACAGACATACTTACATACTCAAAATGACACATGTACAAGTCATTCACTGTCACACTGATTGAAAATAAAAATGCAAATGTCCATTTACAGAGGACTGGAAAAAGCAATTATAGTATAGTAAATCTATACAAGGAATGGGATACACCAAAAAAATGCAAAAAAGAATGAAGAAGTTTTCCTACTACAGAAATGTTCCCTATGAATTTGTTAAATTTAAGAGGCAAGTTTAAAAAGGTAGAGAAAACCAGGTATGTTACCATTTGTGTGGGAAAAGGAAAAGAAATTATATATTTGGATTGGCTTATGTTTGAGTAACAAATATGTGAAAGTATAAACAAATAATTACGGTTATTGGTTGTTTTTTTTCTTTTTCTTTTTTTTTCTTTTTTTTTTTGAGTGGGGGGAGCAGGTAGTGGGGACAAGTGAAGGAGGAACAGAGTGAGGGGAGAAAGTTTTTGATGCCTGGGCCATGCCCACCCTAACAAAAAGTCAGATAACTCTTTTTCAACTAAGCTAAGATTGTTACGTATTTAATTAATGACCATTTTACAAGTCAGGGTGAATAACAATAAAATACTAGCAACAGCCAAGCATTAATATCTACTAATCTAGTTTGTGCTATGAACTGTACATACTGTATTTAGCTCTATTCTGTAACAGTTCTACAAAAGTATAGCGATAACCTATGTCACTGAATCAAAAAGTACATCTTAAAAAAAAGACAGTGAACAGCTTTGGTTGTACAATAGAAACACCTATGGAAAAACCTGAATGCAAGTCAATCAACAGGCCTAATACAACCATCTATGTTTTGCTTCAATGTTTCATAAAGGCTGAAGGTTAAGTCTAACTAATACAGTGTCAGAATTGACAACTACTCTATTAAGAAAATAGTATATGGCATTTATCATATACTGTAAGACTTCCTAGTCTACATTGCCGTGATAAGTATTGTCTTCAAATTCTTCACTCTTCTCTTCAGAAGGTACAGCCTGATTCCCCACCCTTTGAGAGAGGGCTCAATTTAGGTGCTTAACTAAACAGAACAGCAGAAGAATGCTCTCTTTCTGGATTCACTTCTAGAGAAATCAGCTGCCATGTTCCAAGGACACTCAAGTAGCCTTATGGAAAGCACCATGTGGCAATGAAATGAGAGCTCTAGCCAACAGCCAGACGACTGAGTTTCTTGCCAATAACCACATGTGAGTGAGCTTGGAAGCCGATTCTACAGTCTCAGTAGAACCTTGAGAAGACTACAGAACTGATCGACAGCTTAACTGCAATCTCGTGATTCCGAGGCAGAAATACTCAGCTAACCTGCTTCTAAATTCCTGACACAGGAATGATAAAGGTCATGAGGTGATAAATGTCTGCTGTGCTACTAAATTAAGTTTCAGGGTAATTTGTTAGTAATCATAAGTCAACTTTCCTCATAGATCTATTTCCATTTATTTACAAAGACTTGAAATGGGCTATTACCTAAACAAGAATAAAAAAGAAATCTGTTCCAACGGTACATGAAAAAAATTTTTTAAGACTTTTCCTTTGAAATTTATTTCAATATACGTACTTAAACCCACACTTTAGGGGCGCCTGGGTGGCGCAGTCAGTTAAGCGTCCGACTTCAGCCAGGTCACGATCTCGCGGTCCGTGAGTTCGAGCCCCGCGTCGGGCTCTGGGCTGATGGCTCAGAGCCTGGAGCCTGTTTCCGATTCTGTGTCTCCCTCTCTCTCTGCCCCTCCCCCGTTCATGCTCTGTCTCTCTCTGTCCCAAAAATAAATAAACGTTGAAAAAAAAAAAAAACCCACACTTTAAAGAGACAAAATGATTTATGGCAATTTTTTTCATGTTTTATCATAATGGGCATAGAAATATTTACATCTGTGATAAAAATAAGCATGAAGAAATGGGACAAATATGATCTCATGATGTACCTATAGCTTTACTTAGATCCAGCAATCTGGTAATACTGCATGAGAGACCCTGAAACAATACCTATTCATGTTAGGTAACCTGAATAAACACAGTCGACTAAACACTTACTTCACCAGACATCAAGCTAAACAAACTTCAATTTGTTGGAAATCACTGTGATACATAATACTATCACTGTGTTATACTGTTTTATTGCACTGCTGTTAATAAACCAATTCAGACTCTCTACACTGAGTCCAAATGCTACAATTTAATTCAACACTGGTCTGACTGTTGTGGTGAATTTTCAACTTAGTAATGGCTTTTCTAATGACTTAACTGTGACTTTATATTTCTCTTAACTAAACACCAAATCTATCTCATTGTTGCTGCATTACTTTTCTAAACAGGACACTGTAAGTCAATTAAAATTTTACCAGCTAAAAATCTAGAAAAAAAAACCCTTGCGATTTCTGTAATATTATGGTTTACAGACTATAATTTTATAAAACAGCAGGACGGAATCATTTCTGAACAATGATTACTCAACATCTTCTACAGGAAGCAACTGAATCAAATCAAAAACCAATAAAAATAACAACCACCACAGCAAATCAACTACCATACACAAATATTCTTAATGCTTGAAATTGTCTGAAAGGGCAAATTACTTTCTAAAATCTGTTAGACTGTAAATTATATGGTAGAAGCAAGGTTTATAATTTCACATTTAACAGAAAAATGGGTAAATTTATACTTGAGAGGCAATTTTTCTTAAATCTTTTAAGATTTCATATTTATTTTTAAAAATAAAAAAGGTATGTACTTGAAAATTACAGCTCAGTAAAAAAATCTGAACTACAGAAGTAATATGGCACAATGTCATAAATCAAGAAGAAAAGGCAAAATATGTATTCTCTTTTCTATCTTAATTAAATGTGCCAATGCTACATTACCTGAACACCTTGCAATAACCTGCTATGCAAAATTAATGCAGTAAAAACGTTTAAATCACCTAACCAAAGAAAATCATATTAAAATAGTAAGGGGCTATTTAAAAAAGTCTCCATGGCAAGCAAGATGGTTCATGTGGTACTTTACTGCACCAGTTGCCACTGTTGATGAGGGGTTTGTAGACTGAATGAATATATCTTGTCAGAGCTAGACTTTACCCTATGCTATGTTACTAGCATTCTAGAAACAGTGAAAGAAAAATGAGACTGAAATCTCCTTTCACACCAGAGACAGCGAAAGAAAGAACAGATTTTGAAAATAGTTTCAGTACAAAGAATACTTAGTGACCAACTTCATCCTTATCTTAGAAAACAGGCCAAATTCCCTGAATCTAAGTTCCATTAAGTACTTCTCAACCAAGCAAGTACATAATCTGCCAATAAAACATCAGAGTGCCCCAACTCCAATTACCCTTGTGCGTGCGTGCGTGCGTGTGTGTGTGAGTGTGCGTGTGTGTGTGTGTGTTGGGGGTTGAAGAGGGCTGGGTGGGCAAAACACAAAAAAACCATAAACCACAAAATAAAGCAGGCATAAGACATGATTTGCCAACAGCACTTGTGAAAGATGGAGTGGAAGAGGAACAACTAGGTATTTTAGTTATTAAGTCATATGAGATAAAGTGTGAAGTGGTTGGGGAAAAACTTAAATCATAAAGATGCAATAAAATAAAAAACTAAGTACTAAAGAGGACAGTGCAGCTCTCCTATACAGTAAAGAGAGCCAAAGCTTTCATTTCTAGGTACCACCTTTTATAACTACATAAGCAAACTCAAACAGATTCCTGGGAAATGACCAGAATAGTAAATGAGTATCATTACCAGATAGCTTACTAGGGATTCTCAGCCTGGAAAATTGAAATGTCAGAGAAAACTTGGTGAGTTTTCAAATAATTGAAGGGCTATCACAAAAAAGATTACACGTATTCAATACATCCTCCATGGGATATAATTAGAACCAGTAAGTGGAAGCAACAGATTTTGGCTTAAAATAGAGATGAACTTTTTTTAATAACCAGAAGCCTCCCAAAGGCAGAATAAACTGCTTAGAAGAAAGGGAGTTTTCC